CGATAGCTCAATGAATAACGATGCGGTTGTTTTGAAATTTGATATTTATAATGTTTCTTTATAGAACCGAAGTGATAAATGATTTTACAGTCCACCTGATGATCCATTGACACCTGCGGACAACTTTAAACAAAAAATGCCACAACAGCGCTATCCTCCGAGGACTAAAATGGAATGCCTCACAGTCTGAACTTATACTGGCTTTAGACCGAAAAACAGCAGACAACCGAAAAACATTGCCATTTGATGGTAGAAATGGGTAAATGAGTTGTCATCAAAACAGGACCAGACGGAGTCCAAGGCTTCCTATAATAAATAAAGGGGTATATTATTGTATCAATATCTAAATAAAACACAAAAAATGTTTCTACCTATGTCTGTTATAGACTTTAAAACCATCCAACCGATGTGTCCGGTATATTATTGTATAAATAAAGACCATGACCTATCTCTATCCTATACCTTTAAACGAGCAATTCTTGTATATATACATATAATCGGAATCTCGGAAACGGCTCCAACGATTTTCATAAAATTTTGTGTGCAGGGAGTTTCGGGAGCAATAAATCGATCTAGCTAGGATTTATTTTTAGAAAATGTCTTTTTGTCCGTGTTTTTAGGCAATGAAAAACTGCTACAATATCGTTAGAATAAGAAGGTAAATTTTGACAATTTATTTATGATTACAAATAGCTTAATTGGTATATTGGGCGGTCACAAAATCAAAGTCGTAATACCATGGTTCGAACCCAGATCGGACCGACTTTTTTTAATTTTTTTTTCAAGATCCTTTCTTTTTTGAGAAAATCTATTTTTTCGTGCCCTTTTTTTAGTATTTTGTAAAAAACACGAAAATTTAAATTAAAATAATTGCACTCATGATTTTTTATTCAAATAACCGGTTCAGTTTTTTCTATTATGTCGCTGCGATCAAAAAATACATACATACATACATATACACTCACGCCTATTACCCAGAGGGGTAGGCAGAGACTACAGACTTCCATTTGGCACGATCCTGACACACCTCTCTTGCCTCCTTCACATCCATACACCTACGCATACATGCTCGTCGGTTAAGGGTACTCCTAATTTGGCCCGTTTTCAATAAATCGCCAATTTGGTCGATAAATTTTCGCCTAGGACGTCCATTTCCGACTCTTCCATTCACTTCTGCACCATAAGTTAATATAATTAAATATATAAATCAAAAAATAAATAAAAAATATTATTCGTATAATATTATTCGTATTTCATCATTATATAATTTGTATCTAAATATAATTTCCAAAACACACGAATTAAAAAAAACCGAGCGAAAAATACCGAGCGAAGCTCGGTCACCCGGTAATACCCGGGTACTCTACATAAAACACAAAAAATGTTTCTACCTATGTTTGTAAGACTTTGAAACCATCCAACCGATGTGCACCAAACCGGTTTGATTACAAACGTAATAATGCGAAGATGGTTTTAGACCGCTAAAACATTAGCACTATAATTATATATATATATATATATATATATATATATATATATATATATATATATATATATATATATATATATATATATATATATATATATATATTTATATATATATATATATTTAAAAAAAACACATTTACACAATATTCTCTAAAAAATATATTAAATTTTATTATTTTACATTTTTATAAAAATATATTCTCTTACAAAATATATTTCTTTTATTAGTATTGTATAAAAAACGTGACTGCCTCATTGGTCTAGTGGTCTGTTTTCCGCGCATGTTCTGATACAGAATAGTGCACATTTTTTGTATGGAATAGCTTCTCTAGTACGTAGTATATTAACTCAATGGCTCTCTATCCGTTCGTAAAGTCTTATAACAATTGGTTCAGCCATTCCGAACATTAGCCCGGACAGACAGACAGATAATTTTTAAAGAAGATTCAAGTCAAAAAAGTTAAAACTACAGCCTAATTACGTCCCACTCCTGGGCACAGGCCTCCGGTCATTTCTAAAAAGGTTTTAGTGCAAGGAATTGTCCGCTGTCCTAATTCGTGTTGGCGAACTTCACATGCCTCCGAAATCCTTTTTTCCTTATTTCTCAGACATGAAATTTTCCTCACGATGTTTTCATTCACCGCAGAGCACGTGGTACAACAGCACTTAAAATTGCAATTAACAATTTCATTGGTGTCGACGGGGATCGAACCCGCTTTGCTCGCGTACTGTAAAATTTACAGCGAGTGCTAACCATCCGAGCTACCGCGGCTAAAGAAGATTGTTTATGTTTTTTTTTGCGTGGAAATAACCCCTGAGCTTAATTGAAGCCCGTTATATTTCAATATTACTTTCGCTTATTTTTTAGTTGGTAGTTACTGTAGGCATCATTCAAAATATTCATACAATCATATAGCCACATACAGTTTAATTCGTAGTACTCTTGGTTTATGTGGGCGATCTTCAGGATATTTTAGGGTAGTTATAGTTTACGGGTAGCTTCCTTACGGTCATATACATATCTTATGGTTGCACTGCCGGGAATATAAAGATAGATATCAACCATGACCATCTTTGTACCGACTTGGCATGTGAATGATTTGATGTAGAATGTATTACTTTAAAGAAGATTTTTTTTTAAATCTTTTTGAATACTTTTCTCTGTAAGTCTTTCTTATTGGAAATAAGTCATTCTGTTACCAACGTCCTATTTGGGCCCATTGTTAGTCCTTATAGCGGTCAAACTGCAAACTCACTTAATGTGCTCATTATCAAGAAAACCCTTTCTTAGTTCACGTATTGCGACGAGCAACTACGGAACCCTACCTCTACAATGTGAAAACGGGTCAGGATTATGTCTCGAAAAAACTTGTTCATACTAACATTAAATAGCGGCATACTTACTCCCTCAACCACTCCAGTTAAACTGTGTAGTTGCTTATCACTTTTACATTTGAATACAAATGGAAAACATATCAGCCCAATTTGTCAACCCTAATATGATTTACAATTAATTGATCGTTCGCTACACTAATGGTTTTTTAATAAAAATTTAAAGATATAAGAGCATTTAGCCACTGTCAGTAAAATCCTCAATATCTTCTAGCAAGTAGAGATTTCAAAACGCTCCCAGAGTGCTCTCAATAGGTTCGAACAGTCTCATAAATTACGACTTGGGTGACAATACGTTATCAATCTGCTTAAAAATTCAGCGTGGAACCGGGTTCCTTTGACTTTGACGCGCCTCGGGATTCGCATATTACTTTGGAATTCACGCTCGCAGTGGGAACGCTCTGCTTTGCAGGATTTTATTATTTTTTCTCATTCTCTGCCTAATGGAAATGTATTGTGTCTGTTAAATATTTGTAAGTATTATTTTAAATTTAATTAACATGTTGTACACTACTGAGTAAATTATTCAATTAACTAAAGTATCATATTTATCATCATTTATCGTCAGCCTTTGATAGCTGATGATAGCACTTTTCTAAATCTTCGTATTTATAAGGCACTTAAAAGCAAATTGGATTCCGACGACTCAAATGTCACCGGCCCGTCAGACACAGACACTCCACATTCCCCTAGTGCCACAAACACTGTTAGGACAACGGATGGGACGCAGCAAGTCCGTAGACGGACGCTCCGCACACCCCTCCACACCGCGTACACACCGTACACCCGCGTCCCTGGGTGGTTTACACCGTCCAGAACATCGAACGAAACCTGAGGCCGATGATGCAGTAAAAGCCAAAAGGCTAACTGCACAAACATCACAGAAACTAGATAGCATGAAAAAACGTTGAAGGTTAGGTGTAGCAAAATGATTTTTTTTTTATTATGATATCCCATCAAAAATATAAATGTGAAAAGTTCCAGAGTTCCTAGAACATCGTACATTCCTATTTCTTTGCTCATCCTACAGATCTTATGTCTTATATAACTGCTATGGAATTTGACGTAAGTTCGGATCTGAACTCCGAACGTTTGCACATACTTGTCCCTCTATTCACATTTAGGTTTTTCGTGCGATTTTTTTTTAAATCAGTTGTAATTGACCATAAACTTGTTGGACACAAAAAAACTTGTGGAAAGAAAACTGATTAAAATAATAAAGATATAAAAATTAAAAAATTATAAACATTCGTATATATTATATTTCTAAATATGAAAATAAAATTAAAATAAAATTTATTAGCAACCAAATATGTCTGAATATTCAGGAGGTCTGTCTCCAGAATTAGGTTATCACCTGTATCTCATAAAACAGTGCTTCCCTTAAGTCTATATAACAGAATCACAATTTTATACATTTCAAAATTTTGTCTTACTTCTGAGTGTTAACACAGTCGATTATATAATATTATTCTCTCTTACATGTTTCCTCTTAGTTCGTCCAAAATATGCTCAAAGGTAACTAAAGTAGAATTATAACGACATGTTTAGAAATATCTCCTTTACCCAAACTACCCAAGAATGAATTTAAATTGAAAATTCAATTAAATCTTCATATCCTCAAATCTTTTCTTTGTCTATATAAATCTTATTCGTTCATCATGTTATGTGATTCCATTAAGCTAATATAACATAAATGAACTCGAGAGAACACGATCCATGACAAATCATATTATAGCGTCCAGCACAAGCGTTCGTATGTGACCTCTGTCTTGCAACACGGTTCCCCCTCTCAAGTTTAGGGTCATTTGCAGGACGTAATGGCTTCTATCCAATTTCGGAAAGACATTTTCATGCCATAGGCCTCATAAAGATTTTTTTATTTATGAAGTTATTATAGTTTATAGTTTCTATTTTCATAGATATTAAAATTTACGTAACAGATCCATTTTTATAGCTATTGAATGTTACAATTTACTTTACTTTTTTTGGTATCACTTTAATCAAGGTAAATAACAATTACTTTTATTTCAGATGACGGTGAATTTCGACGTATCCGAGATCGAAGACACAATAACTAATTTAAAATATTTCTATAAGCGTTACTGACGACAGTCAAAATGGAAGGAATGCGGGTGACGCATCAAGGTGTTCGGGCTCATTCAGCCGAAGGTTCTGCGGGTCGCATCACTCAAGCGGGCCTGGCTGCACGTAGCCCTGAAGGCACTGCTGCCAAAGGAATGGCTATCAAGGGCCATGAAGACCTTTGGGTTGAAATACAAGCAAACACTTTTAGAAATTGGGTTAATGAAACTCTAAAACCAATGAATATAAAGGTATAAAGTATTTAGTCTTAATTTATATACTCTATAAATTAAGTTTTAATGTGTTGTTATAAATTACATCTCACTAACAAAATGTGTTCGTTTAGTCGTGGACTTCTAGCACGACGATAATGATGATCATGATGATGACTAATAATATGTCAATAAAGTTATTCAAAAGGAAAAGAACGTATTTAAGAAGTATTACTTAATGGCAAAAATTGAGTGGTAAAGAAAATATACATAATTTGAATATTAATTTAAAGTACTCGATTAAGCTGAAATAAAATTACCAAGTCAAATTGTGCGAACTCAGCGGCTACACTGAAAATCATAAAAGGCGATAGATTATAAATAAAGTCAGTACAAAGAATTTTTAAATTAAAACTTCATCTGAGTACAAAATTACATTCAAACCTTAGAGCCGTTTCCGAGAATAAAGTTTATATATTCATTTTATTATTATTTGTATTTTATTTTAAGTATTCAAAAATCATTGAATAGATTTGATTGTATATCGATAAAACAATTAAATTCTGTAAAAATACTGTAATAAAATATTTTACGACCAAAGCCTAAAATCACAACAAATCAAATCTACGTAACTTCGCATACAAAACATTTTATTGGCCTATAGTATTTTTACTCAACTGTTGTACCATGTGGCCTAGAATACTAAAGAACAAAAAATTATAACTGAATAGTCTGACCATATTGCTAGGTTCGATCTTGCGCACTCTTGCGTGGCGAAACTACGCTCTAGCTGTTGGGCTATCGTGTTATTGAGAAAAACATCTCAAGGTCAAGTCTAGTTAGTTGTTTGGCTTTACGTGAAAATACGGAGATAATGAATTTTCCCAGAAACTAGATCATACCTAGTTACTTTGATTTTTCACCTCCATAAACTCCTTTGATTTAAATTTCATAGGAATCTTCAGAGCCATTTTCGAAAACGCTATTACAAACAAACAAACAAATATATTATACATTGCTCGTATGGATGATATGGGATATTATCAATAGAAAAGTACAAAATTAATTGAAAACAAATTTACTAATTTTTCTCACAACTTCGTAATAAACACGGTCTCTCTAGTCTGCCTAATAAAGCAGATATGTAGAAGAAATCGTATTCTGTTTTTGTTTTAATTATTCGATTTTAAACAGGTTATGGATTTAGTAGAAGATTTACGGGACGGTACAATTCTTTGTGCCCTCGTCGAAGCATTACAGGGCAGACGTCTTAAGGGTTGGAATAAAAATCCGACTAACCAGCACCATCGACTGGAGAACGTCACCACCGCTCTGCAGGCAATCGAAGACGATGGCGTTAAGCTAGTCAATATAGGTAAGAAGTGCAGCTTTTAAGTGACTAATATACCTAGCAATTTGTTATGGGAAAACATAAACAATGCCTTATTCAACGCCAACGTCGGCTAAATTACACGTAAAGGTTATAAAGAACAGCTACACACTCGTTTGTTAATAAAGACATTGTTCACGACCTTATTAACTTTATATTGGAACTAGTACATGTATATCTATATGGAACGAGTTTTGATACTGATTTTCTGAGTAGACATTACTGACATAATTTTTATTGCTATAAATTTAAAACAAAAAGCGGTTTATTTAAATCCTGGTTACCACACAATTTTTTATCGCAAAATTTTTGAAAAGATTCGGTGGTTCGGACTAGTAGAAAGAATGAATGAAGTACAGTCGGCAAGGGCTATATGGACGTTTTATATCGACTAAATTGACAATGTATAGAAGAAGTTTATTATGATAGACAAAATTTAGCAAAGATAATGCATAAAGAATTATGTGAAAGATAATGTGTGCAAGCAGAACGTTTTGCGAAACTCAAAAAAGTTCTATGGTTAAAGTTTTCATTGTTAACTCTTTTAAATAAACTCTCCACGAGTTTATTTAACAAGAGAGATCTATGCAAAGTTCCACGCGTCTAAATTACTTTGTATATATATATAATATACTGGTGGACATTGGACTGGCAAAAAGGAACTGAGTGCACAAGCGCGTTGTAATGGTGAAGTAGTAGCCCGCGGAGCCCCGTGTTCGATCGTTTTTTTACTTACAGCAGTGCATAAATCTGGCAAACATTTATTACAATGCCATGCGGCATTGAAGTTACTTCGATTTCGTAAGGAAATTGACACCAGATACACCGTCAATGCGAAAAAATCAATGATGAAAATCCTCCTTGCACTTTTTCTCGCTTTGAAACAGCTAAATTTTGAATCTGGATCGTATTGTGAAATTCAAGATTCATCACCTATAACAATGTCGTAAACACGCTGAGACGAGACTGTTAGAATTAATTAGTCATTTTACGGCTCCATTCTACGCGGAAATGTTCTAAGCATCGGTGAGGTAGTGCGGCAACCAAAGCTAATCTATCCTCCTCACACGATGGTGTTGGTATAAAATCTTGTCAACGCTTATCGATTAAATCTACATCTGAAAATTTTATCATACGTAATTCGCCTATTCTCTTTAATTTAATTTTTACTACTAGCACGTTTCTTTCCCTAACAATAAAGGGTCAAATGGCAAACACTTCATTCTTCATCTCTCAATGTTAGACGACTCGAAAGCGCCTTTATCCATTAATGACTTTTGAAGCCGATCAAATGATTCTTCCGATTTTAGACGACATATGAAATCGTAAAAATTCATAGCGTGAAAATGTTCCCGGCACATATCTATTTTTTAATGAAACATGTCATTTCAATTTAGTTCTTAAAAATGAGGTGGGAACTTAGAAATTTGAACATTCTTATCTTTTCTTTAAAATATATAGGTTTTTTTTTAAATAAAAGATCCAGTGGCCAATCCAAAGGTCAATGTTCTATACATAAAAAAAGCTTTTGTTTTTGCTAAATATTCTGCGTAGCTGATTATTAACAAATTATAAGATCCTCTCAATAAAACTTGATTGATTTAGGTATTTTTCCCTTTTATTTAATTTTTCATCACTCCATAATATCCGGTTTATACTCTATAATATTATGTATCACTAGACAGCACAAAACAAAGTTACTTAATTTTTAATTTAATTTACGATTTTTTACGACTGACTACGTAACAATAGTAGACAAAGATTCATCAAGTCATAAAAAAATTACATCCTGTGATTACACCACATGCTGATGAATCACAGGCTAGTCGCCAGTATACAATATTGTAGTGATCGCATATCTGTCGTCAGCATACTTACATGTATCTTGTCTGACCCTGGCTTTTTATTCAAGTCTATATTAGTATGACATCGATAATACTATTATTTTTTGTCTTATGGGAATGTGAATTCATGTTAATCCAATATAACATCCAAATATACTACCTCTGATCTTACTAAACGAAACTTAGTAATATTTTGCCCCCATTAAATAAAAACATTATTCCATTAACAGCAACAAATGGTACTTATATATTTTATCATGAGTCACTTACTAAGCAACTTCCAATGTTACACAAGCATTTACTTCATATTGTCGGTCACGGACTCCGCGGGTGGCCCTCCACCGTACTTATCGTTACTAGATGATTACTACTAACCAGCAACTAGCACGCATCGTTCCCATTTCCCATTCAGGCTCTACATTGCTTTTCTTGCTTAAGGTTAAACTAACTTTAAAACTCAATACGCTTATTTTTTTGCAACGGAGCATTACTCTACTGCCTTCTTCAAAGTTTTGAACTCATTGTTCGCAAGACAGTATTATAGTGTGCAACTTTAAAGGTGGAATACACTTTTATGTTCAAGTTTGAGATTTTCTTTTTATAGAATGAACTATTCATAACATGTTTAAAAATATATGCGTCATATAATGTGTAATCTATAAATAATATCTATTACGACGTTTAATAGTTTGAGACATGGTTTGAATGTTATTCTAAGTTTAAAAATTATGTTTCATGTAATGTGGAAAAATACACATGCAAATCATGTTCACGGACTTTACGAAATTTAAACTAATATTTAAACCCCATCACATAAAATCTCATTAAACTACATACATAATACAGGTTATACGCAACTACACAACATAATATAACCAAATTATACCTATAATTGTGCTAAAATATAAGTTTCAATTTCCATAATTAATTTGTCTAAACTTTTATTCTGGTGTGCTTTCAGGTAATGTCGACATTGTAAACGGAAATCTGAAGCTTATACTAGGGTTAATATGGTCGCTTATAATGCGGTATCAAATCGGCAGAAGTAAATTTCCCCCAAGGTAAGCCCCAAGTCACACCTATTTTTGATATTTAATATAATTTATGTGCATTTGTTGGCCGTCTAAGTATATTTTTAAGAAAAAAGATGACAAACGAACACACAATCCATCTGATGGTAAGTGGATGCTGTGGTCCATAGAAATGCAGGTGCGTTGGCACCCCTGAGTACTAAGATAAAATGCCTCATTTCCATTAACAACGTATCCAGTTCTTTATACTCACCATACGAAACACAGCAACATTAAGCTGCTAATATACACTGGTATTCTGCTAGATCCCACCCCGGTCGGGCCGACTCATTCATATTACAACCATAACTACAGCGTGACTCCACCAAGTAAAGAATATGTCTCATTGATATCATTCCCCTGGTGTTGCAGTTATTCACGGGCGGCGTTAGTCACTTACCATGAGGTGAGCCGCATGTTCGTTTGCCCCCTCTTCTATAAAAAAAGTTTTATAAAAGCAAATTTATTCGTAAACGTTTCCATTTCAGTCCATAACTCTAAATCAAGTATTTAGATAGCAATTAGCGGCTGCGCGAGCGCACTTGGCCATATCTAATGATTGCAATACATCCTTATATAACATAAGCGAATTGCTTGCATAATGTGATACGAGTATTAGAAATTTCCGATAAATCGACACAATATTCTGCTGAAGAGCATTTTATTTTAATTTAAGTATTAACTACAGGTAACAACTATAGTACATAGAGTCTACGAACTTATTTCGTACATAAATAATGCACACATATTTTTTTGCAATAAATCAACCAAACACGCAAAGGGTTTATTAAAATTTGTAGATATAATTTAAAGATTTAAAAAAATCAAATAACCTACTTTCTGAAAACTTGGTTGTACACAAAATCAAATGTACCAAAGTGTCCACATAAATTCTAAAAGACAAGATTTCAATATTTTAAAAGCACGAATAAATCAATGCGTAAGTCGATTTTTTAGAATAAGTTAAATTTTTTTGTTATTATTATATTTGGCAAGCAGTTAGTACCGGAATACACTTCGTACCTTAGACGTGCCCGTTACTGATTAGCACATTGTAATATCTGCCATTAGTCAATCGATCACCTGATTTGGTGGGCTACGGCAGAACTTACAACCATTCAGAAAGAAAATAAAACCAATATTAACCCATGTAATAGTAGTACTACCTAAAATATGTTTGTTTTAAAAAAATCCTTATTTTACATTCTCGTACATAACGACCACAAATTAAGGAATTCTATCGGTTTATTATTATTATATTATTTTAAGTTGACTAAGCTGATAGTTAAGAAATAAATAATATGACATGCTATTGCATGTTTTTTTATTAAATTATTGTTTACAAGGTTATCTATTAATTACCGGACATCCTGTACATATTGCTGTTAATACACCTTTTTTAGCGACAGCAACTAAATCCATGCCCAACTTATAAGATTTGACGACATTCACTTGCACGCCCAAGGATTTAACATTTTCACCCAGTTTACTTAAACGATTTTGTTTCGACATTATCGAACCTCTTACAATTAGCCGTACCACTTACAGGAGTGATTGATATTTAAAGATCATGTATTTTTGTTCGTGGTAGAGTCATGCTGCAGTTATATTTGTAGTATAGTTGTAGCACGAATGGGTCGGCTCGACCGGGGAAGGACCACGCTCTCACAGAATACCAGCGTAAAATAGTAGCTTAATGCTGCTGTATTTCGTATGGTGAGTATAGAGAACCGGAGACCCTTTTTACTGGAAATGAGGCATTCCATCTTAGTCCTCACGGGTGACAACGCATCTGCATTTTGATTCGTAATCGAGTACAGATTTAGGTGTCTATGGGCCACAGCAACCACTTACCATCAGGTGGACTGTGTGCTCGTTTGTCACCCTATCCTATAAAAAAGGTATGCTTATAAATGGCGTATATATTATTATTTTGTGTAATTACGGCACTAACTTTTATTCAGCAATTACTTTATTATTAAAGTAAATAAAGTGACTTGTGAAGTAATCTTACTTTTATTATTCAAATGTCATAAAGTTTTTATTTGTTTAATAGCTAACAATTTAACTCTCCAATTTCAAATGCATACACTAACCGAATACGCCATGGTTGCCTACATACAAATGTAAACACTCGTATTACGAAATTCGTAATTACTTAACAAATTTCTCTTCAGTTTCGTTGAAGTCATGAGTGACGTATCATCCGAGACACTATTTACTAATTCAATCCGCAGTTTAGTTGGATTTGAGGCAATTAAGAATCCACATTATTACAACTAAGCACGGTATATAAACGACGCAAAAATTCGGTAGTTTACAATGTTCCAGCTCTACCATCTATGTTTGTTTACAGAAAACTGATGTTATCGTGGTTACAAGCAGCTTTGCCCGAGTGTCGAGTCAGCAATTTGACGACGGATTGGAATAGCGGGGTTCTGCTATCAGCTCTCCTTGACTATTGCAAGCCAGGCATATTCCCACATTGGCGCGAACTCAGTAAGTATATACGCTTTAAACAAGCCAAATATATATTTGATCTGTTGGCGTCAGTTCACAAATATAAACAAGTTGCTGCCTGACTGAGAGCGGCGATTGAAATATTAATTAATGAATTTGATTAACTCAACCTAATTAAATTACTGTCGATACGTAATTGTTTTTGCTATCAATCAAAGCAGCACTTTCAGTATTGAGAATAGTAGTATAGTATTGTGTAATTTACGTTAGTGAAATGGGCTAATTTTTTTTTTCAATTATTTTTCATGCAAGTTTTTTCTGTTAACAATATTCAGAATTGCGGTTTAAAACATAATATTTTTTTAAATGTCAAATTTGATCAAAATAGTGGAATAAACAGTAGCGTAATAAATGTTATTCGATTAAATTTAAATTTTATCAACATTGGTAAATGTCATAATAACTTTTAAAATTAGAACCTCTTTTTAATTACCACCTTTAGAGAAGAATGATAATGGACGTCATTTAAAAACAATCCACGGCAAAGATAATAAAATGGTAGCTTAATGAAATTAATTGAATGAAAATGTTTCCATCAGAAAATCTATACTACCTGTACTTCATATTATCTATATGATGAGATGTTCAGGGTCCATTTTATGACGTAAAATGGACCCTGAACATTTTGCCACGAAACCGTTGATGTCCCAGTATAATCCACGAAAATCCAGCGAATTCAAGTGGCTCAAGTAAAATTAAGATGTAGGTTCATTATAGCCCCTGAGGATTAATGTAAGATGGAACGCATCCTTACTATTAATTGTGCCCTATAAAGCTTTAAGTCCTGTGGCTACAAACTTGTCAGTACTCTTAACTGTATAAAAATATTTTTATGAATATTTTAAAAACAACAAATAATATATATATATATATATATATATATAAAAAAACACTTATAAAAAAAATATACAAATATCAATAAAATAAAATAAAAAAAAAACATAAATAAAAGCCCAACCAGATGAGCCCAGCAAGGAAAGAAACACCCAACGAGCCCTCCTCATATATTTAATATATATATTATTTATAAACCACATCCACAGATCGCCACGAAGCAATAGAGAATTGTCGTCGTGCTATGAATCTAGCTTACCGCGAATTCGAAGTCCCAATGGTTCTGGAACCAGAATATTTAGCCTCTCCGTGGCTCGATGAACTCTCCGGGATGACGTATTTGTCTTACTTCATGAAACCTGACTCGCCTGGGTTCCGTTCTACATTAGACTGGGTTAACTCGAAACTGGAGAGAGGAGTTACAAATTTTACAGTATGTATGATTTTATATATATAGAGAATTTAGTAACAAACGAATTTCTAGAGAAGTCGTATGCCATCCTATCTATATTTTTTACTCTCAGTTAGCTAATTAGATTATACATATACTTATTTCGCTAGCAATAAAATAATATAATAATAAGGTTTCGGAACGAACCAGTTACCAAGATCAATATATGAGTAATGAATTCGTTATTCTACATAATAAGTTGCATGCATCTCTTTTAACTCTTTTGTTATTAAAATTGTTTGTGTAAAGACTAATGCAAAATAAATAAAAAATTATAACCAAAGGTTTAAGGCATCAAAATTCTTAAAATTAACAAAATGATAGTCAATTTGAAAAAAAAAATTACTATTGTGTATAATATTTATTATGAGCAGATAGTTATATGTTTAATTCTTTTTATCTTAGTTTATACAACTTCTACGATGTGGATATGGCTCAGCTTATATATTATTATGGATAACGTTAAAAGAGCAGTAAATAATTTTGCATTATTTGCAATAATGTCTTTAAATATATCCAGTAGCTATTAAGTGTACTTGTAAATGGTGTAAGTAGTGAAAAGTGGACAATGTGAACACTACGTTTAAATTAGGTATGACTAATAATTGGCAAAGAAAGTTAAGGAAAGAATAAATAATAATATACTTCGGAACAAATTTAGAGGAACGCAATAAAGTGTTGGATAAAACAAAATATCATGGATTTTAAAATTTTAAATGTCGAAAAACAAACGATGAAATGACAAAAATTAAACAATTGAAATAAATTACAAAAAGATACATTTTTGTGCTTAACATTTTAATATTTTTTCATAAATGCTTTGTAAAGGCTATAACGTAGATTGTAATCAGTGTAATATCACAAGATCTCGTCCTTCCTGTACCATGTTAAAGCTCACTTTTCATTTCCTAAAAATTAGTATTATTTCAGTAATAGTCACATTTATCCCTTTACATAGCTCTCCGAAATGCTTCCCGTCTCCTAGCTCCTAGGCATATTCCTAAATAATTTATGAAGTCGAGCGGGCTGTCCATCCCATGGCTTTGATTTTAAGGTCTCGAAGGGATTCGACAACTACGGCCATAGTATGGAGGCGTGCATTATCATGCGTAAAAACAAATCTCCTATAAAACGGGTAAATGGCACTACAATTTCTTCCAAAACCAAAATCTCAGTTACATAACGTGCCACAGTTTATCATTCTCAGTTTATTTACAATAACAATTCACAATCAAGACGACAAGGGGGCAGTCAAGGCAAAAATTTAAATTAAGTCTATATTTAAAGTCAAATTCAAAAGTTGGTAAATTTTAGCAGTATAAAAGAACAATATTACGCAATAATTACATAAAAACAAATAAAATTCGAAAATAAATAACATTCCAAACATTTCTTTTTTTAATAGTATTTACGAGTACTATTGTTTATATCCAGTACGCACGATAATGAAAACAGGAGAAATTAAACCTTTTTTTTTTTGCATTCCCCTATATTTTTCCATGAGTGCAAAGTGTAAAGCTCATAAAACCGAAAGGTTTTTCTCTTCTCTTTATATTTAAGTCAAGCCTTTTATTTTAAGTCGAGGGATTTCGCGAATTTTAAAACATTTAAATTTATTCAAAGGCATGGAAAATGAGCAACACTGTTATGGTTGGTAAAACAAATTATACCAACAGAGTTTTGAAAGATATTATGATTAATGCTTTGCTCAATTTTGAAGAACTTGAAAATGAGATTTATTATTGGAACTTTCTTGTTTTTACTAAGAGCATATTTTCATTTTCGCATGAAACTAAAAGGTCACTTAGAGAGTTCTTCCGCAAACATTTAGACGATTAAGTGTTGTTATCTAATGGTGTCATATAAAACCCACTTTATATAAATCTATGATACTTACTGACAAGGAAACGTCGATTTTATCAAAAATCTGTTTATATTTATATCTATACCTTTAATCTTTACTGAAGTTTTAGAATATCATTATTGAAACTGTTAAAACAACTTTTAAACAACTGTTAAACAACTTGAAATCACTTTATTTCTTCAAATAGACTAATAATTCAACAACTTATGATACAGACAGATTGGAACGATGGACGAGTCGCTAATGAACTGGTTCGAACTATGGGAGGTCCAGCTCCGCCGCCAAGTAGACTTCGTCACGACCCAGCGCGATGGGAAGAAAATAACCAACAGGCAATTGATGCTGCTAAAAAAATCGGTAAGTTATTTTTAACACGAGGATGTCTGCATATAATAGAACTACAACAAACGATATTAAAGTAACAGTTAGCTAAAGCTTGTAATACGTGGGATCCCTGAGGCCGAGTAGAGGTGGTATAAGGGAATCCATCAGCCCATCCAGACCCTGAGTAAGTGACAAAAGGCGAAAAATAAAAATCGGATTGTAGCCATGCAGTGGACACGGACGAGTGTTTTACGCGAATACTTGTACGTATCGAAACCACTTCAAAATGAGGGCGCTCCCCATCCGTCGCGCGCAGTGCGTCACTCAACGTAAAAAATTCTTTGAACCTTTAGCTATCGAGTGGTATAATTAAGTTTTGGATGTAGGTAATAGATATATAGTTGCAATACTAAACTCTATCTCCCGATTTTGTGATCATCATTTTTCTGAACTGCCTCCCACTATGGAAACAATTTTAAAGACTTAATCACGTCAAAACACTAGACCGACTATTTATTTATGAAATTCCGTAGATGACGGTAAAACCTTATAGTATTTTACCAGATGTAAAATATCTAAATCGCGGACGGGAAACAGATTGAAAAGTGCGAAACATCTAATACTATATACATATACGAGTACTGCGTTCGCTAATCAGCCTATAGTGTTAATAGTATAGGTCAGTGTGGGGTATAAGTGAATCTTGAATAAAACATATTTTTGGATTTTATTTTATGGCTTAAAAACATAGTTGGACCCGGTAGGTGGCGCTGTTGTTGAGATCCAGAAACCGCCCGTGCAAAGCCGTATCAGATAACTAGTACTTAATAAAATCATACATTTTATTATATCTTAGTATATACTCATAGTTATTCCTGTAAAAATGTGAAATTATAGGCAAATTTTTAGTAGTGTATTGATATTTTTAGTATTTTATACGTAGTAGATCCATACTGCAGCTATATTAGTAGTATAGTTGTAGCACGAATGGGTCGGCTCGACCGGGGAAGGACCACGCTCTCACAGAATACCAGCGTAAAATAGCAGCTTAACGCTGCTGTGTTTCGTATGGTGAGTGTAGAGAACCGGAGACCCTTTTGACTGGAAAGGAGGCATTCCATCTTAGTCCTCAGGGGTTACAACTCATTTATTTGCATTTTGATTCGCAGTCGAGGATATATGTATATGTCTATGGGCCTCTGCTACCACTTATCATTAGGTGGATTGTGTGCACGTTTGTCACTCTTATCGTATAAAAAAATTAAGAAAAAACTAACGAATAAGATAATCGTACCATATAATTAACAAAACACGTGAATAAATTTGCAGTTTTTTTTTCCTTGCGTTACAGTGATTTGTCTCCTCTGCTTATTTCAACAATATTTTTTATAATATTTTAGGTGTCCAGCCAGTTCTTTCCGCGCGTGATATAAGCCAAAACGATATTGAGCATTTGGGTCTAATGGCATGGGTTACCCAATTCCGCAACGTACCACCGCGGCCTCCGGTCCACGATATGTTGCGAGTCGCTCTTGACTCCACATCTGGTAGAGTCGGAGAACCGGTAAGTTTTAATGTCAAACGAAATTCTTTTTAAGTATAGCTTTTTTGCATTTTAATATACTTCTACTAAAACTGTAGTTTTTTACCTTCATATTTTTCGCTCAAACTGTTTCAGACGTATATTAAAGTGGAAAGCATCTCCAATGAACTATCGATATCTGACGTTAAAGTTTCAATTGTAAATCCACTGGAACATGAGTCAAGACTGAAATTGGATTCAAGAGGGGCAGGAGAATTTGTACCAGAACATGCTGGAATGCATGAAATTGTTCTTACTGTTGATGACATCAGGTGCGAATACGGTTACTACAATATATCTACTGGTCGCTGATTTATTTGCTAATGTAGTCTCCTCAGCCAAGTCACTATTACATATTATTTAAAATGTAATTTTAACCACCGATTACACCGATAAATATCAAGCTAAAATAAATAGATTTTAATTATTTTAATTTTATTGAGCAGGATACTTAGGGACCTTCAAGAAAAGAGCTTACTCCTTTTTTATAGAATAAGGGTGATAAACGAGCACACAGTCCACCTGATGGTAAGTGGATGCTGTGACCCATAGACATCTACATCTATCCTCGATTACGAATCAAAATGCAAATGTGTTGTCACCTGTGAGGACTAAGATGGAATGCTTCCTTTCTATTAAAAAGGGTATCCGGTTCTCTACATTCACCATACGAAACACAGCAGTGTTAAGCTGCTATTTTACGCTAGTATTCTGTGAGAGCGTGGTCTTACCTCGGTCGAGTAGCCCATTCGTGCTGCAACCAAAATATAGCTGCAGCGTGTCTCTACCACGTAAAATTTCAACCACCACGTTGCAATTTCCACCACTTTTACCACGTACAAATCCCCTAGTGTTGCAGTTGATCATGGGCGGCGGTAGTCACTTAGCATCCGGTGAACCGCATGCTCGTTTGCCCCTCTTCTATAAAAAAAGTACTTCAAGGGGGTGAAATTTTTCTTTTCACCTAAGATTGAAATAATAAGTGATGCAATTTATAATGTGAGTATTTAACAACATTCTAGTTGTAACATAGAACTGGTGATATTCCTTATTCAACCCGGAAAGGTAAAATAATTAAACTTGAGTAAATTAAAACACTAAGAAAATCCCCAAAATAGCTTCTTCGAGGTCGGGCCTTTGATTCTCCGGTACATTTTGCCATATTCATCGACTGAAGTCGGTTTTACCTTTTTCTTTAATGTAATCATTCTATATGTCGTATTTTGATGCAATTAATATATCGCATATCTGCTATCAAAAGTAAAGCACTCACGTTGAATTGTTTTTGTCATAATGATATTGTTGTAAGTAAGTCCCCATATTAAACTTATGTCAGAAAAATATACTGTCGTAAGCCTCTTACTTTAGCTACAACGAAAGATTTATCCATACTCAATACTGATAATAGCACTGATAATATTTATGCCATCTCTAGTCTTTGAAACTCAGTTTAAGTAATATATTTACCGTCATTAATTGGCCACCTCCTCCTCCTGGTCCATACGATCCTCGTATGTCAATCAGCACTGCGTTCAGGTGAGATTACAATTTGGGAGCATACTACCAAAAATAACGCTTAACACTGGCCATTACGAGTATCCATTGCTATAAAAAAGTAAAGTTTCAGCCTTTATACGTCCCACAGCTGGGCACAGGTGTTCTCGTTTCAGAGAGAATGGAGCAAATAGTTCACCGCATCACCCTGTGCTTCTTGATGGACTTCAGATTTCTTCAAAATATATCTCTGCGCGACCACGATAGTGCAGGAGCATAGCTTTGTTTTACAAAAACATTTTAAAATGAATTACGTTCTATAAATTCGATTAATATTAATGTATTTATAAATAGTAAAAGAAAATTCGAAAATAAGTATGTAACACAAAGTTAAAAGATGAAGTTGAATTACGTCTATAACCAGCACATTGCCTCCTATTATTTCTTAGAGGGTTTTAGGGCAAGAAAATGTTTGCGGCACTGCCCCAATGCGTGTTGGCGAAATTCACATGTCTTCGAAATATTTTTTAAAATTTCTCAGACATGCAGGTTTTCTCATGATGTCCTTCACCGATGAGCACGTGGCAAATCAGAACTTAAAATAATTGCAATTAATAATTTAATTGGTGCCGGCGGGGATCGAAACCGGGTTGCTCGCGTTCTGTGGAATTTACAGCAAGCGTTTAGCCTCCGAGCTACCACGGCTCCACAAAACCTCACTAGTAACACAAATAAGGAAGAATCTATAATATCATTGTAATATATAGCATCTAATAATAATGTCCCCCAGACCGAATTTCGGCTACGGCGGCCAGCCTCAACGGAGGCTAGCCATCGGCGCAGGACAGGATTATAGTGCCCAAGTGTACGCGCAAGCACAGGTGCACTCTCTATTCCCTCACTCTCATAATCCGATGGGACGGTAAACCGAAACGACCGGAGAGAGATCAGGCGCAGGACCAACGGCTTTACGTGCTTTCCGAGGCACGGGGGTGAGACACCGCCAACTTCCTGACTCCGGGAAACTACTGAGAATTTCTTGACGGAAAAACTCAATAATTAATTTTTTGGCCCGACCCGGGATTCTAACCCAGGATCTCATGATCAGCAGTCGCACTACTACAACCACTAGACCAACGAGGCAGTTATATATGCAAGAGAGCAGATATAGCATCTATTACAATAGTATTATACAAATTGTACTTAAACAAATTTAATAAGTAAAATATAATTAAAATAATGTTACAATTTCGTTATAGGGTCGACGGTAAATATTTCTTTAGAGTGCTGCCAAGATTAGTAACTGTACCTCCACCGGGCATGGCGCCGTGTGCTGCTGGAAGCATTGTCGAAGTACTCGTTAGTGCAACAGGTATTAGAACAATAAAGGATTATAATTGATAGAATCAGGCGTTACTAAGTCCGCTAAGTCAGCCGCCGTAGAGTCTACATCTCCTGAGGATGCCTCGTGTAGAGGCGAAACACGTGTCGTATTATTGTCGATGGTGTGTCTGTCCTGGAATAGTAGTGTTGGAAGTAGTGGTGCCGGGAGTAGTGGTGTTGGGAGTAGTGGTGCTGGGACTAGTGGTGACGGAATTAGTGCATGTAATTGAGGGAGAGCGGGAGGTGCTCTTCAATCCAGGTAAGACACATCATTTTATTTAATTAAGCGGATAGTTGCGAATTAAATTTTAATAACGATTTCATATATTTACGCGTACACTACACATTGATTAAAACTACTTTTACGGATTTTATCGATATTAGATCGGACCATAAACAATAATTAAAAAAGCTGAAGATACTCCGGGTTTAACAATGACATTGGGACGTCAGTCACCTCAGTCCCCCGTGACCATGGGTGCTGGAAAGCACCCGAAACGTCGGGAATTAAAAATAAAATAATTAAAAGTAAAATTAAACGCGATAAAATCCGTAAAAGTAGTTTTAATACACTTTAATATCTTTATAATAAAGTATTAGTAATTTTTTTACTAATTTTTAGCCAGTGCTTGATTAAAATCACCTTGTGACAAATGATGATACAAACGTTTCAATTTATATAAACGTTTATTGATATGCCAAGGAGAAAAATTATAATTACAATAATATTATATAATTAAATAGTAAATATATTCTCATCATTATGATCAAGTTTTTGTAAAAGAAGTAAAAATACCAAAAGAATGACATCATTTTTATTAATTTTAAAATCATTTAAGTTAAAAATCTCCTAACCCGTAGCTGATATGCTATATTAGAACTTTAATAATGATGATTATGTTACATAAAATATAAGATTATAAACTTTTATAAATAAAAGTATTTCCAACGAAGCACCGACATGGCATAGGTTGGAAAATTTGCCCAAACTACCTAGGCTAGATCAACTTGGCCACCTTCGTATTTTCACTATCCCAGTGTAGATTAGTGGAAATATGACGGTGACCTCGCACTATTAAAACTACTCTTCATCACCAGGTTATAAAATTTGGGTTGGGTGTTTTAGAATGAATTTGTCAGCACTAGTGTCTCATAGTGTCTCTTAGTAGCAGAAGTCCTATAATTCACTAATTTTTAACATTATAATGATAGTCACGTTGTTGTACATAGCGGTGTATGTTTTATAAGCCATGGTTTCTCACAGAAAAGCTATAAAACATACGACGCAATGTACTACAAAGTTACATTTTGATGTTAGTGAATACAACAAAGTTAGCGAATAGGCCTACTGAGCCGCGTCCGTTAATCATTAAGATGAGTTACGTAGATACTAAATTATCACATGCTGAAATACTCTTTCAAACTCCGAAAATAAAAGAAATATCATTCATCAAATAAAAATAAATTTATACATAAACCTTCATTTGTTCGTGTAACTACAGAATTTTTTTGTTAATCGTCTATAATTCCCGTCGAATGACCTGCAATAAAAATGAATAAATATAGAAAACTTTAAAAATATATGAATCATAAAAACAACTTGTTGCCTTTCTACTGTCTATATATGATATTTTTCTGTAAAATAACATATTTATATATTAATTTTGTAGGAGCTCCAAGAAGAGAAGACATAGACGTAACAGCGCACTCACCAAGTGGCCGCGCGGTCCCATTAGAACCTCGGCATCCGCCACCATCAGCTCCAGGTACCACTGCCTCCAGTGCAACCTTCCAACCCGACGAAGCTGGTACTTGGACTATAGCCATCACCTATAAGGGGAAACATATTCAGGTACGGTTTTTTTTGTAGAAGTTAGGTTAACATTTGATAAACGAGCACACAGACCACTTGATGATAACTGATTGAATTTGTATTATAAAAAGGCTGTTATACAACCTATGGAAAGAATATTTAGATTTACGTTCAAAAGAAAAGGGTATTTGGTACAAGATGGTACATCCACATCCGCCTAAAATACCATGGATTGATAACCATAAGCTATCGCGACAAGATGCAGTAGTGATAATGAGGCTTCGCACTGGACACATTCCATCCAGGAAGTTTGTATTCCTTATGAAAAAAGTCCAGTCACCAAACTGTGATCAATGCGGTGTTCAAGAGGACCTAACGCATGTCTTGATGGATTGTGCCCACAACGCTGCCTTTCGTATTGATAAGTGCCACCACATTTTAAAAGACTTCGCTGATTGTAATATAATTTTAGCTAAGCCACATTCTGACGATATAAAGTTATTAGTCAAACTTTACAAGGTGATGTTTTTTTTATATAGAAGAGGGGGCAAACGAGCATGCGGCTCACCTGATGTTAAGTGACTACCGCCGCCCGTGATAACCGTAACACCAGGGGAATTGCAGGTGCGTTGCCGGCCCTTTAGAAAGGAGTAAGCTCTTTTCTTGAAGGTCCCCAGGTCGTATCGGTCCGGAAAAATTGCCGGTGCTAAACTGTTCCACAGAGAGGTTGTACGCGGAAGAAAACTCCTTTTGAAACGTACAGTGGTGGACCGCCAAGCATCCAGGATGGTGTGGATGGTATCGGGACGTTTGCCGCGTAGTGCGTTCACGAAATTTGGCAGCTGGGATTAATCCGAACAATTCCTCTGAGCACTCCCCATGTTATATGCGAAAGAAAATGCAAAGAGATGCAACATCTCTTCGCAGCGCCAGAGAATCGTGCCGATCGGAAAGCACTCGGTCGTCGACGATTCGAGCCGCTCTGCGCTCGATGCGGTCAAGTGGAAGAAGCTGGTACTGGGGATCCCCAGCCCAGAGATGGGAACAGTATTCCATGTGCGGCCGAACCTGCGCTTTGTAAAGTTGCAGGCGGTGTGCCGGCGTGAAATACTGTCCCGCTCTGCTGAGCACGCCAAGCTTTTTAGAGGCCAATTTGGCCTTCTCTTCCAAGTGACCACGAAACTGCACGTCACTCAATATGTCAACTCCGAGGAGACCGTTACTGGCTGAGGCAACAAGGGGAGTGCCTTGAAACTGAGGAGATACGACAAAGGGGTTCTTTTTAGAGGTTAACGCGCAAACCTGTGTCTTCTGGGGGTTAAACTGGATTAGATTTAGACGCCCCCAATCTGAGACTCTGATCAGCAAAGACTCGACTTCAGATACAAGTTTGTCCCGGTACTCGGAGACGTTTTCCCAAGAAATATTGGCACGGCCGGTGTAAAGAGCATCACCAGTGCTGTCATCTGCATAGCAATGAATGTTAAGGGTTTGCAACATATCATTGATATGCAGAAGAAACAGCGTTGGCGATAGCACGCAGCCTTGTGGAACACCAGCATTAATAGGCTTGTTATGGGAGCTTGCACCGTCTACAACGAGCTTGGTGCTCCGATCTGCGAGAAGGCTAGTGATCCAATCATGGTGATGTTCACGGATCGATCACTCACTTCTCAATGTGATTGATCTGGGAACTTTTCATTTTATTTTTGTTCTTCAACTTTTTCTAATTAATTACGGATTTGAGAACTTAATAATGTAAAAAGTTTAAGTATGCCTAATGTAATTATTTTTGGTGATGAACTAACGGAGCGACATATTCACATTGTGATTAAGCTCATTAATAAATAAATAAAAAAATCCATCCCCAATTACGAATCAAAATTTATATGTATTATCATCACTAAGAACTGAAATAGAACAACTCATTACCAATAAAAATGTCCCTATCTTTAAAATTTCCGTGTTGTAGAAAAGTTCTATTCTATAATTGTTTGTAAAAATAGTAAAACGTTTTACACGTTTCGCGATAATTTAATATGAAAAAAATTATATCGGTGACGACTATACCGGTTCTAAATGTTTACTGTTTTATCAGTGATATTAGATTAAGTTAACCGACAACGAAACCTAGTCATCAGAGTATCCTTCTACTACACGGAAAACCGTGCGTGGGATCTGACTGACTGTACCTATCCTTACCTTCGATGATTGTATACAAACTTTACGTAGGATACAAAAATATGTGGTGATGGGCTTCGAACATTGTCGAAGAGCGTCTGTGTGTCCGAAAATAGCCAAAATAGTATCGCAACTGACTACGGATTTGTAATCTAAGGTTATCCTTCAGTTAATTATTAACCTTAGATTATATCTGCAGTTAGTATAGGAAATAAACTAGAGTCTTTGCTCTAGTTAGCAGCAGTCTAGTTAGCATTACAGGTTGATTGTAACATAATTGGTATAGACTCTAATATGTATATGACCTGTAAGTAGGCCAAAAGGTTAAATAGTAACTTACATAGTTCTATTTTGACAGGTAATCTGTAAACTCATCACACTGTAGAGTCACGCTGCAGCGTCTTTTGGCTGCAGCGTGACTCTACCACGTTTTCTATCTGTTTTTAGGGTGGTCCTTTCACTTGTGAAGTATTTGATCCCAATGGAGTAAGACTTAGTCCTGGGGCACTGGAAGGGGCAGAACCATTGAAACCACATTCGTTTGAGATAGACACGAGCGGATGTGGTGTCAAAGGCGACTTGCAACTGGATATTGTTCACGACAAACGAAGTGTGATGTGCGCATTGGAGAAACTCTCAAAAACGAAATACCGTGCTACGTTTATGCCTAAAGCTCCTGGGAAACACAGGGTAATAACCTCATAGTCATTTGGTTTAAAATAATCAAAAACGTGTTCGTATTTTAATTTGAATACAATTTACAGCTTTACATCTACTTTAACGGTTACGATGTCCATGGCTCACCACATATATTTAGAGTGGGATCAAGATCAAAGAAACCACGGGATAGTGCTAGCCCTTCTTACGCCAGAATATCCAGTCCAGGTAACAATAATTTATTAACCCACTTTAAAATTATTTGATTTCTTTTGTAACGGTTCTAATAAGAGGCGGCTAAAAATTGTTAACAAAATTTGAAAGAAATACGGCATTTATTTCGTCAGAATCAATTTATATACTAAGACTCTTAACTTCGGTACTTACTAAAGTTAAAAGAAAAAAATGTATATTAACTTTTATCATCAAGTAAAAGCCAATTTCAAGGAACTGAAGTCGGTAGTTTTTTTTTTAATAGAAGAGGGGGCAAACGAGCATGCAGCTCACCTGATGTTAAGTGACTACCGCCGCCCATGATCAACCGCAACACCAAGGGAATTGCAGGTGCGTTGCCGGCCCTTTAGAAGGAGTAAGCTCTTTTAATGAAGGTCGTATCGGCCCGGAAAAATCGCCGGTGGTAAACTATTCCACAGAGAGGTTGTACGCGGAAGAAAACTCTTTTTGAAACGTACAGTGGTGGACTGCCAAGCATCCAGATGGTGTGGATGGTATCGGGATGTATGTATTATGTATTGGTATTTATTTTGTATGTATTTAGTTGTATTAAAATTTATTACAGCACTGACGTCAGAATCTAAAATTATTTTATCGTTTTTAGTTTTTTTTTAAATCAGCTTTAACTTTTTAATATCAGTCAATTTTTTAACCTTTTGCGTGGAATAAGGAATATTTTAATGATGATAGATATTGTCTAAATAGTTAGTTACATTATAAACTTTATCGCCTTTTTGGTGGTAATTTTTCTCTACATTTATAAGGGACCACCCCTAAAAGACACCTTATTTATTTGAAAAGGATCGTCTAAATCGTTTCGAAATTTGGCGAAGATATCGCGTAACATACATCCTATTTAATTATTAAATTAACCATTTTATGTATAACTAACTTTAATACAGGTAAAATTAAACAAAGTCAATTATCTGAGCATTTTTAATCTATATTTTTTATTTTATTTTATTTTAATTAACATTTTAGTGAGTAAAATGTTTAAGTCCAATGAGACATTAAAAAAGACCTTTTAAAAATTAATTGATTTCGGTCTTCAGGCAGCTGAGCAGAATAGTTGAAAAGGAACCAGACAAACTTTAACTAAGAAACAGAAGGGGGTAATCGAGGCTTCTCTCGATCCGGCCTCCTATAACGCCTACGTTGGGTTCGGGAACAACGTATGTGATCTCCGCAACGGAGTAACACACAAGGGCGATAACCTTTTCTAGAAGATTACGGGTCTTCCGAAGTCGTCCCAGTCCCAACGCCTTAATTCTTCGATATGGACTGTATATGGAAGAATTCCTTGGGAATAAAATATCAATTATCTTCAAACCGTTCCGTGAGAGAGTAATTACTTTTCCCTATCACTTCCCTATACTTTTTCTTTCTTCTTCTTATTGACTGCTGGTCTTGCACTTTTCCCGAACTTTCCCGAACGATTTGCAAGAAAAATCAATTTACTGAACTACCTCGAAGCTAAACGCGAAAGTGAGCCGCGCCATTTGTGCGCTTGCGCAACTCAATTACATCAATTTGTACTATCACTCTCTCACGGTTTGCTCAATAACTTTATTTGTATAAGACATACATTTATACAATTTACTTATAAAGATAGCACAAAGAAATATCTATACTACGATATACATTACATTTTCATATCACAAAAAATCCTTTATTTATTTAACAAAATATGCTTATTTTACTCACATGTTCAAAGTTGGAATTTCTTAAATATTTAACATAGAAAGTTAAAACAATGTTTTCCACTTGAAATTATACATATCTTAACTAATACAATAGTTTAATTTACATTTTCTCTATACATTTCACTATTAAAACACTTTTAAATTTCTTATACAAAACTATCATTATTTCACTTATTCACAGGAATTTTCACATAAAATAGCACAGAATTCACCTCTTTTACACGTACAATCAATCTGAAATGTTTTACAAGTCATTTTACATAAATTGCTGAAATTTGCAAATATTTCAATTTCTACATATTTGGCCTCCTAAGTACGTGGCTAGCGTGCGTCTATGAACTCACACTATTTGAACAACTAACTTTTGCACAGCTATCGACTATCAGTAAAAATGGAAAGTTTAGTATACACTAATATCAACAATACTAGGTGAATATATGATTCTACTCAATTCTCAAACGCCGAAAACTACCTCTAATCAGATTCTTATCAGTTATCATGTTTCTTATCAAACAATATGAGTGAACGTTTTCATAAATCAATCATAGAAAATAGGCATTTGTTTTCACACAAAACATATCAAACTCACATAAGACAATACTTATGCAATTAATTTCCATTAATTCTACTTATGCACAGCGATCATCTCGACCGGGGAACAAATCCGGTAACATAATTCCCTATATGAATTTATTAAGAGATATTACTAAGAAAACGATAAACTATTCCGGCCTCGGAGTCGAACCCAAGACCTTCATATCATTAATTCGATATTTCTTTAAGATTCAACTAAGCATTTTCTTATCGGAATATTGTTGCTTGATAATTTGCTTTTTAGAAGCTATTCGTAATCGGTTAACTAATAAATTGAAATATTCTTATAGGCGCGTCGCCAACAATAGTATCACTAAATCCTATTGAAATAGGAAAAATATTCTACAATATTCGTTAATATAATATATGACTTTAATGTTACTTATTAATTTAATATTGTTTATTATAGAACATACAAAACATACAGAGATTATATAAAAAAAAGGAAATATGTAACAGGTGGTCCAATTGATGTCAGTCTTTCAGACAAAACTTTTATTGAAAACTGGAACTTTAAAATTCATAAGATCGATTAAATACATAAGTAAAACAGCAAACTAACTGCCTACATACATCCTACGACTACGTACTCAGCTTCCCTTAATACCTGATAAAGTAATGGGGACAAGAACGAGTGTCACGGTCCAGTGTGCATTAATAGACTTGAGTGTTTATTTATTCAAGCTTTGTTCAAAATTAGATAATTTTGTAAAGTAATAAACACACTGAATTCAGGGATTTTAATATATAAAACAATACATACACTACAGAAACACAAATATGCTTGCTTGCTTATAGCACTGAAATACGTCTACTATACATAGTTCCAAAAAATGCTTCTATTCATAGGTATATAAACATTTTAGATTTTTGTATATAAATAAGGTAATAAGAACTAGTTACATAAGCAAAACATCACCTCTTCCATAATGTAAGGTAGTGTGTTCAAACCGACACCGTTATCATAATTAAAGTCCACTGTTTAACATAGGCTTCATAGGGGCGATATTTGCAATAGTTGGCACACTTGATAAGCGGATTGGCAACCGCAGCTTTAATTTTTAGTCGTTATTACGAAGACGCTCCTGCCCGTGTCCCGATTTGTTTCGGGACACCAACACCAACGGGATGATACGGAGTTATGTATGTAGTGTGTCCAAAGCAGGAGTTTAAATGAGGCGTACATATATGGTTTTTAATCAATTAAAGTTAACCGGCTTGTGGAGTAAAACACGTATTATATATATATATATATATATATATATATATATATATATATATATATATATATATATATTTAAAATCTCAGGCACGCAAGCGTACTCACGACATTTTGCTCTAACGCCAAGTACATCGTAAATAAGCGCTTAAAATTGCAATTAACAATTTCATTAGTTCCTTAGGGGATCGTACATGGTTTGGTGTTCTCTTTTGTACTATGAAATATTTAAGTGAATATTATCTCCTATTACAGCTACAATACAATAACTTCCAAACTATATTTTAGTTTTATGTATCGTAGATTAGCTTATTTTATAGACAAATAATCATAAAAAGTAGTAAATAAAGTTAGAGCCTTTACACGTTCCACTCCTGAACACAGACATATTCTCATTTCTGAAAGGGATTAAGGGCGAGTATAATTAAGTGTTAATATATTTAAAGTAAGAGAGCTTTCGTAAAGCTATCTATAAAATGAAAAAGCCGGAATTTTCATGACCAAAAAACGGTATTGAAAGGCCTATTAATACATTTTTAGTTTTATTTAGCAGGCTTCAAAAAAGGTAAAATAATACTCGTACATTATCAATTAGACTTCATGTTGTTTTTGGTAACTTTTAAATGTATATTAGTGATATCTATGTCAATTGTGAATATACAATATTAAAAATCTATAATAAGAAAAAACTAAAGACTGATTCTTTTTTATTATATAGGTTATATACTTTATCCTATGAACTTATAATGGAACTATAAAATAACAAAGTAAAATCCGGCTTCAACTGAACTGGCTAGACTGGCTGGTAGAAGGGATTTGATTCTTCAATACAATATATATTAGCACCGACTTCAGAATTGAAGTTGTTTGAATTCGGCTTTTTCTCTTATTTGTTTATTAATATTTTCATAAGCTTTAATATAAAAATTCACTTCTATAATTAAATTGTATGTTACTAACTAGAAATCAATCCTTAAAAACGTCCCTTTCAATCAGCATCATAAATACACCGGATGTTCTTTTTTTTCATATGTGATCGTTTTAATTTTCAGATAAGGCAAGCTAAAAAAATAAAAATCTTTGACTGAGTTCTACTCATTTTTCAAAATAAAATACTCTTCAATAATCAAAAGTTCCTATCTATAACATTAAAAGTACTTTCCCTTCGTGTCAAATAGCCACAGGACGTTCCGTATGTGATATCATTGGTATATTTGTTTAAATTAACTCTGATGAGTAGGAAATCTCTTTATCCCGGTTTATTTTATACGGTCAGAAGACGTATGTATTTCCTAAGAATAGCATATAAATTTCCTTAATATCGTGCGATGTTTCCTTATAAACATTTTCTTAGTATTTATACCGTTTTTAAAATTCTTATCAATTTCTGGATTATACACATTTCCTATAGTATAAAATTATATTTTATGTTGTCTTTACAGTAACACGAATACGTTCGGATAGTCCACTCAATCAATTCAACACATACGATACAAAACGAAACACGAGTTCAATAGACCGTCGGGACGAGGGACGTGACTCCACCGATTATTATAAATCCTCCTTTAACTCCGATGCCAAAGAGAAAAGTTACGACGTGATCGACTCTTATTCATCAACTACTAAAAAAGAAGGCTTTAGATACGACTCTGAAAGTTCAAGAAATAGAACTGCCAGCCCAATAACGTCGAAGCACTTAGGAAATGGATCGCATCTAGACGTCAATAGATCCAGCAGTCCATTCAGAGCAAGCAGTCCTTACAGAGCCAGTAGTCCATACAGAGCTACAAGCCCGCTCGGGCGAACATCGAGCCCATTGACAAGGAAAGACAGCCCTATAAATAGGAATGCTAGTCCAATTAACAGGTAATAGATAAATATAAATTAATTTTCAAATTCAAATTCTTTACTTGTGAGTAAATTCAATTACAACAGCATTTATTTAAATCTTTAATTCGTACTGCGTAATTATTTTGAATATTTAAATTTTGTAAAGTTCTCTCAATTGCAACTCGGGTCTTCAAAATTTATCTTAGTAATGTTGCTAATAACACGCTTATAAGAAGATTAAAAAAGTTTGAATCTCAGCGGAACCAATTCTTTGCGATAAATTATTAATTTTGGTCACTGGATTAACGAGTATTGTGCGATTGTGAATATTATAAATAAAACCTTTGTATTAACAATAATACGGCTTCACAGATGAGAGATTTTAGACTGAAAGCCGTTAAAAGAAAAAAAACACTAAGTGTAGCGGTGGTATAAGAATATCCGCAACCCCATATCGTCCCGTGGGTGTCCGTAAGAAGCGACAGAGGGAAATTTGTACAGATGATGAGGAGCTGCATCTACCAACCGCATGCCAAGCGTGGCAACTAAGGCAATATCCCCCCTATGATGGCCTATAGGAGACCTATGTTCAGCAGTGGAATATTATAGGCTGTAATGGTTTAGGTGTTAGTACTCGTTTACTGCCTTAGAGTCCATTTGGATAGACACCACCCTTTTACCAATTTCTGCCCACAAAGAGCAGTGTTTTACTGCTGTTTTCCATTTGAAGGAAAATGAGAGCCAGTAATCACTTACTTTGCTTAAGACATTCCTTGTTTCAAGATTGCCGCAGGTGTCCATGGATTGCAGAAGCCAACTGTCATCAAAGCGGACCGTAAGGTCGTATGTCACGTTTTATAAAAAAAAGAAATGAAATCATACCAACGAAACTGTTTGCACTTTTTGGTTAGCTGGATATGAGCGACGCGAGCTATTACTATAATGGAATAATTTAAGGCAATCACATTAAAATCGAAAGTTGCATATATAGAAGGGATTGCACTAATTGTATGTAATTTAATATGATTTGATTATTAAGTATTATGTTTTCAACAGAGTGAGCAGTCCCACTGAAAGGTACAGCCCTGTGACCACCACCAAGCGGATCATAGAAAAACGTTCCAACTATAAAGTTTACAGTTCATACAGTGGTTCTCAAGATAATCTGGACCAAAGTAGCCCTCTTTCATCCTTAGAAACAGAGCGTATTCGCGGATATAATAGCCCAAGTAAGTTTTCACAACGTCACACAAGTTAATTGACACGCATTTGATGATTTGAATTTTAAATATAGCCCTTATAACCTGACAGCCCAAAAACAAGGATAATGTTTTTCGAGTGGTGTATAAAACTTCACTGATTTTGAACTTAAAAGTGTCGTTATTTACGTATTCACCTTCAGAATTAAACCTAGAAAATTCTTTAAAAATATAAGCAAAGTTTGCATATCGATAAATTTACTATGTTGTTTTTATTGTCTTAATACAACACACGTAACATATATTAAATTATACAAATTTTATAGCAGGTGCTGTAGATAGCAGTGATCCAGGAGGAAAATTATATCTTGGCCGAAAAGATTCGTGGGACACTGTAGAAAAAACAAGGCAAATGCTGAGTACTAACAGGTGAGGTATAATTAAGAGGGATGTAAAAGCGTTTATGCTTATAATATTGGCCGAAACACCGACCCGATACAGACGGACATAAATACCACACACATTTGCGTTTCGTAATTGGCTGACATAAATTGTCTATCTACTGACCAGGAGAAGTAATATCAGTCGCGTGGCCAACTGTAAGGTCATACCCGGTAAGTGTCTCACTGCCCAACACCGACTTCTTGTCATGGATCTGCGTAAAACCCGTCGCAGACACGCCGAACGTTGCCGCCGTCAAATCAAGTGGTGGCTGCTGGATCAAACCAGATACTCAGAGTTTGACTCTGCCGCTGGGGATATTAGTCTCGACACAGCAGGCAAGTCCGTCCAAGAGTGCTGGAAAACCATTCAGACACCAATCACAAAGACGACAAAGCAAGACCTCGGCGTGGCGAAAGAGGGTCGCAAAATCGACAAGGAGACCTGGTGGTGGGACGCCACAGTCCAGGGTTCATTACGGGAGAAGAAAGCGCTCTTCAAGACGTGGCAAACGACCAAATCTCCTGAAGATCACGCATCTTACAAGACAGCGAAAAGAGCTGCCAAGAAAGCTGTAGCCAGAGCCAGGCGTGACCACTTGCAACCATTATATGCTAAGTTGGACACTCCTGAGGGGCACAAGCACATATATAATCTGGCGCGCTCTAGGGCCACAGCAGCGCAAGATATTACTCGCTGCTGCAGCGTCAACGGCCCTAATGGCGAGTTCCTGTCAATGATCGTGCTGTGAAGGAGAGATGGCGCTTTTTTTCCACGTTTTGCTGAATACTCAGCACCGGGAAGTGCACCCCCGAACAACTCCCGAACCATGGACTCGTGCCACCGATTACGCCTGACGAGGTCCTCGCATCTCTTCGTCACATGGATAATCGGAAAGCTGTCGGACCTCGGGCTCGTGGTGTGTGCATTCTTACCAACCTTTATAATAGAATCCTGAGCGACCGAATAATGCCCGATCAGTGGCGGCTTAGTATAATAACGCCGGTCCACAAGGGTAAAGGGTCCGTTCAGGATTGCCGTAATTACCGCGGTATAAAGGTGACGTCACACACCATGAAGCTCTTCGAGCGCATTATTGACACCAGGATCCGACAGGAGTGTACAGTATCGGACTCCCAGTACGGCTTCCAACCAGGACGCGGTACCATGGACCCTATATTCGACCTAAGGATCCTCATGGAGAAGCACAGGGAAAAGAATATGCCTCTGCATTTTTTATTCCTAAACCTGCAGAAGGCCTTTGACAGTGTTCCTAGGGAGATGATCTGGTGGGTGTTGCGGTCGAAGTTGGTACCAGAAGACCTACGTGGAAATCGTACGTGACATGTACCGCAACTCCGATTCAATAGTCAGGACCGCTGTTGGTGATACCACCCCCTTCCCCATAACCGTAGACGTGCATCAGGGCTCCGTCTTAAGCCCCTATCTCTTCAGTGTGATATTAGACGAACTGTCAGCCAGCGTACAGAAACTACCGCAGCCTTGGCTGCCTATGTACGCTAATGATATCGCACTGGTAGATGGGGATAAGGGACGGCTCACCAGACGCGTGCACGCATGGAGAGAGGCGCTTGATAACGGCGGGCTGAAGCTAAACGTAGCGAAGACGGAGTATATGGCCTGCAACAGCAGAGATCTGACGTCTCTTCGTATAGGCGACGACACCGTCAACCGCACGGACAACTTCAGGTACCTCGGATCTGTACTTGATGCGTCCGGGGACATCGATCATGACATCAAGGCCCGTATATCAGCGGCCTGGGCGAAATGGTGCGAGGTGACGTGTGTCATTTGTGACCCCAAAATGCCGGTCAAGCTGAAGGGACAGGTCTATAAGACCAACATAAGGCCTGTCGTTACGTACGGCAGTGAGGCGTGGCCGGTGCTGGAGCGACACCGGCAGTTGTTGCATGTCACGGAGATTAACATGCTGCGGTGGATGTGTGGCGTCACGCGGAAAGACCATGTACGGAATACATATATCCGCGGCAGCTTCCATGTCCGTGACATTGCTGACAAGCTGCATGAAAGTCGCCTCCGCTAGTACGGCCACGTCTTACGACGACCGGCAAGCTACGTGGAAAACAAATGCCTGGACATGATCCTAACTGGTACCAGGAGTAGAGGACGGCCCAAGAAACGCTGGCTTGATGTCGTGCAGGATGACATGCGCACCAATGGGCTATTGGCGAGCGACGCCCAAGACCGGGCAAAGTGGAGGAGGAAGTGTAGGAAAGCGGACCCTGAGTTCTCCCGCGTCGGGCGGGATGAGCAACCGGGATAAATGCTAGGTAGAAGAAGAAGAAGAAGAATTGGCTGACATAATAACGAAGTATCGTTTCCGATACAATTTTAACGATTTCGTTTGGTAAACTAAAATTCTTATATAACGAAATAAAATACATCGGCAAAATAATATTACATAGCGGCGTTTACATATAAATAATATGTAGTACTATAAAATCTCCTGTGCGTTTGATAGGTATTATTGTTTACCCGTAAAGCCATGCTGCAACTGTATTAGTAATATAGTTGTAGCACGAATGGGTCGGCTCGACCGGGGAAGGACCACGCTCTAACATACAGACAGACAAAATAAACTGTGTTTCGTATAGAGAGTGTAGAGAACCGGAAACTCATTTTACTGGAAACGAGGCATTCTATTCGATTCGAGAGAGATTCGTAATCGAGAATAGATGTTGATGTCTATGGTGTGACTGTGTCTGTGAGGTGGACTGTGTCCTCGTTTCTCAACCTTATCCCATAATAAAAAAAATTAAAAGATGGTGCCGTGATCAAAAATCAGCCAATCAATATGTTTTTAATTGAATCAAGGAAAAACATTACTAATTTTTATTTGGGCCCTCCAAATAAGTAACCGTGTAATCGTGTATGTTCCGAGGATGTCGTAAGAAGCGACAGAGGAAAAATGAAAATGTTCACGTGGTAGAGCTATATTGTGGTTGCAGCACGAATGGGTCGGCTCTCGAACCGGAGTAGGACCACGCTCTCACAGAATACCCGCGCAAAATAGCAGCTTAATGGTGATGTGTTTCGTATGGTGAGTGTGGAGAACCGGAGATCCTTTTACTGGACACGGGGCATTCCATCTCAGTCCTCAGAGCTGATAACGCATTTACATTTTGATTTTTAACTGTAGATAAATGTAGGTGTCTATGGACCACTGCATCCACTTAACATCAGGTGGACTGTGTGCTCGTTTGTCACCTATATACTATAAAAAAACAACAAAATCCCCCCATGAGGCAATCTATGATGTAATAGATGGATGGATGTGCCATCCAAATAAGAATTATTAATATTTTAAATTACTGCCAATAAATTTGACAAGTTCCGAAATCATAACGTCTAATTGGATATAAAAATAAAAAAAATATAAATAATATTTTAAATACCGCCATAAAAATATATTGCGCGCATAGACGCATTAATCCGTCTTTGATTCAATCGAGACAATTCTATAGGGAGCGTACGTGACGCCAAAATGTCACTGATAACCTGTCAGCTAAAATATATCGGTATCCCGTCGATTAAGTAAAACCACAATAGGTAGCGCTATATATTCAGTAGCTTAATATTGGTGAATCAATATCGTCAATGATTTAATATTATTTATGAAAAAACTAAAAAAAAGCAAAATTTTATTATCTTAAGTTATTTTATTATCTTAAGTTAATTATGAATGTTTCTATTTTGGTGTCGTTAAAAGTAAAATATATATATATATATATATATATATATATATATATACCGTGTGAAATTAGCAAATATATATACAACATGTAACAAAAACGCTGTGGTTTCCATTAACTCGGAATCAGTATTCAAGCGTTTTTCAGAAAACGACCATAACTTTTTTTTAATTTAATTTAAAAAAATTATTTGCAAATTGTATGTGGTTTTATTTCCTCTAACTCACACGAGTATCGGTAATGCGGGGTCTTTGACAATCCTCTTAGTCCTAAGCCAATGCAGAGATAATAAAATCACATACAATTTGCAAATCAATTTTTTTAATTAAAATATTTTTTTTAAATACTTCCTTATACGCTTGAATACTGATTCTGATAACGCACTTAAAGGGACCACATATATTACGCGCATACATAAACACCACCACAAACCACAGAGTTTTTGTTACATGTTGTATATGAATTTAAATATACCCCAGAATCTTGTCGGTATTAAATCTGTAACGTTATTTACCAATGTAAAAGGGCTAATAAATTTAACGCGATGTCTACAGATTCGGTCAAGTAACTGCCATGCACAATTAGTGTTTTCTCCAACATTGAATGATTTATTTTTCAGCAATCTTTTACCGCTAAACATGAACCGCCTCTATAGTATGTGGGATAAATAATAAAATATTTGATCATTTTACAAAATCAGTCTCTTTATACGAATTTATATACATATTTTTTTTAAAACGTTTTCTATAAAATCTCCGTACATTAGTCTGTATACATGAATTTTATATTGTTATTTTCATTTGGACAAAATTGCACAAGAAAGTCCTCTTTTATTATACATCTTTAATCTTCACCTCTCAGTAGAGCTTCAAGCTACAGTTTTACGTTCTTTTGACATTCATATTGCCTCCCTCTACGAATACTTTTATAATATCTCCTTTGTAATATCAAGTAATTGTTCAGCTTTCCTGTGAAGTTGCAAAGACGTTCCGGTAGCTAATGGAAACGTAGTTTTTGATGATAATTAAGCAGAAATTTACAAAATTGTTCCTTTAAAAAATTTTTACGTATTTAACAACTTTATTTTATTTAAATTATTTTCGCCTTCTAAAAACGCTGACATATAGAACAATCCTCCGCTAGTGATGATTTGAAAAAGCGGATAATCATAGATTTTTAATACAAATAAAGTTAAAAAATGGGCGTGAAGCCGCTTAACCGTAAATTTTATTGTAATATATAATATATATAAATTAAAAACGAATCCGAAAATGTATTGTCAACTCTGGGGACTAAGATGGCAAACCTCGTTACTATTAAAAAGGGATATCCAATTCTCGTCACTCATCATACTAAAGAGCATTATGTTATTAATTATCGGTTTTTTTCTGTGGGTGCATGGTCCTTCCCCATTATTAGCATCGAATAGCATCCCCTTATGTTGCAGCTATTCTTCAGCTTTAACAGGGCTTAACTGTGAAAACTATGTAAACGACTAATGCCCCTGCCTTGCAATCTAAAGCGGAAGACGGTGATAACCATAATGACAATCATAAATAAATTAGAATATTAAAAACGCAATCGCTTGAACCATTATCTAACTGTAAAAAAATTATCTTGCGAATACTTCGCTTGACGCAGCTTTTAGAGATATGAAACATGCATGTTTTAATCTTTTAAACCCTTTACACAGCCTAGACCCAGCAAGCGGATCATCGGAGCGGCACTACGGCCAGAACACACTGGACCGCGAAACACAACGCAACACACAATTAAACCGATTCAGTGATCTTTCGCGCGACGCCTTCAACCGACAACTCGACCGGTTGGCAGACGATCGAGACTCTGAAACGTACGCTAGTCGAGTGAGTACGGGTTGTTTACTAATTAACACCACTATTTGGTTTTCCTTTACAGTAAACGCAGATGCTAAAAAACGATTACATTTGCATTTCAGCTTGCATTTTTACAGCTTTTAACAACACTGCGATAAAACTTTTGCGTGCAGCTGTTATAAAACATTACTAATTAAAAAAAGCGTAAAAAGTTTTATTATTCAGTGAAAACTTCTTTAGCCATGTAGGGCCTTTTTGGAATGGGAAAAAAGCACAGAACTCGCGTGACTGTCACGCTCAGATACATAAAACTGATGAAAGTAATGTTGAAAACCCAATTGATATATGATATAGATAACAATCATTCTTTCTCATACAAAACAGCTCAATAAATGAAAATTTTATTACTATATTCTTCTTTCTTATAAAAATAAAAAAAATCTAAAGAAATATTTCTAACAACTCAAAAATAATGTTAACAAATTTGTGAAGCTAGGAAGTAATCACTTCTGACATGTAGTCATACGACCGACAGTTTTTTTTTTTTTACATAAGGGTGATCGTAATATTAGGATAATCATAATAAATTTTTAAGTGGTAGAGCCTCTCTGTAGCGTATGATTATGGCGGTAACATGTATGGCCGATCCATACATGCTACCGCCATTCGACTGTGGAAGGACCACGCTCGCATAGAATATAAGCGTAAGATGGCTGCATATTACTGTCGTATATCGTATGGTGAGCGATGGAGACCTCAGACACTTTTTACAGGTAGCGAGCTAGCAATAATTTCAAAGTCGTACACATATTGAACGGGGATTACACGGTCACTGAACGCAATGTAGGGGTATGATAGATTGTTGATACGCTCTAGTCAACATAGTAGTAACTGTTGTGTTTCTTACTCATTTCTGATACGTTATATTACGTTCGTAGTATGATCACTTTTAGTATGTCGAGACATTAAGCCAAATAGCTTTTTAAAAAACACTGTTATACTCGTAGTTCTTGCAATTCACGATTGCGGTTGACCTTTGGATGTGGTTCGACATGTACATGCACAGTGCGACAGTGTGCGAGCTGATAGGACAACGGATGGGACGTAGCGAGTCCGCAGACGGGCTCGTCGCACATCCCTCCACACCGCATACACACCGCGTACACACCGTACACCCGCGTCCCTGGGCAGTACTCACTGCCCAGAACATCGAACGACACAAGTTAGCCGTCAGAGCCGGGGCCCGCCACCCCCTATTCGGACGGCCGTTACATAACTCATCCATGCGCACTGTACACTGTCATGGGAGTCATGGTTACGCAAGCAACGATGCTGAATGTTGAAGTTCACTTTTTATAGCCTGCGGTCTTTTAAGTCGCGGGCCCTGAAACCAATGAAGCTGTAATAGGCTAACAGCACCAACATCATCGAAACCAGTCAGTGTGCGAGCCTGGCGGTGAGCTCAGTTGCGAGCAGACATCTGCTCCGCAAGGCACGCGCACTCTCACACTTTGCATGTACATGTCTAATCACATCCAAAGGTCGACCGCATTCGTGAATTACAAGAACTATACTTTATATATTACGAATACGTACTCGTGGTTAATTTACTTCACCGCTCATCTTTTTTCCTTCTCAGAACATAAACAATCCATTGCTGGACATGAACTTATATTTTATTAGGTAAAATTTATCGTAACCAACATGATTGCCAAGCGACTAGGCGATCGAAGACCTTTATAATTACTAGTGATATCCTAGAGTTCGAAGTTAGTACAACACTATTTATATATTACACAACAGAACGTATAAAATTAATATAAAATAAACTCCTGCATTTAATAACAATAGATAAGGTTTAGCTAATATTTGATTGAGGATAAAGATATTTCGGTATTACGCCTCCCACCTTACACTGCAAGCTCAATCCTATACAATTGACAAAGAGTGATTTAGTGTTACAACAGAGGCTACTAGATGCGTTATGATCTGAGGACTCAAATGGCTCACAGCCTGTAATTATTCTAGCTCTCTGTACGCTTCTAACCAGAACGCAGCAGTGCACTTCTATTTGATGACAGAAATAAGTAAGAGGGTGGAACCTACCCATATGGACTACTACAGTGGTGGTGAACCTTTATGTATCAACGTGCTATTTTTCTAAAGAAATGTTTAATTAGGTAATACACGTGCCGTAATATAATTTTGACTTTCTGATTATGGGGAAAATAATAGTACCAAATACTATCGACTCAAAACTCTTTATTTACTACAAATAATAAATAGAGACTGTTGAGTTGAGACATGTATTATTATACATCGCAAAATGTATTTTGCTATGTATAATAGTAAATGTTTCGGTTGTACGCGTAATTCAAATTAAAGTAACAGTACCTGGATGACCGAGCTTTCCTCGGTATTTTTTTGGAAATCGTGTGTTTTGGAAATTATATTTAGATACAAATTACATACTATACAATTACAAATTAAATACATGAAACATGAATAATATTTTTTCATCTTATTGACATAAAGAAAAAAACGATTGGTTATTTGAATAAAAAATCATGAGTGCAATTAGTTTAATTTAAATTTTAGTGTTTTTAAAAAAATACTAAAAAAGGGCTCGAAATAATAGATTTTCTCACAAAAGGAGGGAACTTGAAAAAAAAAAGGAGAAAAAGTCGGCCGAAGACAGGATGCGAACCAGGGAACCTCGATTTCACGACCGCCGGATATCCCACACGAGCTATTACGATCATTTCCACACTGCCAAAATTTACCTTCTTATATTGTAGCAGTTTTTCATTGAACCACCTGGACACTAAATTTCATGAAAAGTATATATATATATATATATATATATATATATATATATATATATATATATACATAGATATATATATAAGAGGCGGCTTAGCTTAATGGTTTACTGGGTTAAGCCCTGTAGTATCCGCATATTATGTACTACTTTGTGCATGAAAGTATAAATAAATAAATAAAAATAAAATATTATGGGGTACCTTTTTTGATTAGATGACAAATTAATTATATTGGTGTTGTAAAATCCTAAATATAACACACAAATGAATTTTAAATACAGTTGTGTTACCTAAATTGACTATTATGCTATGTGTAAACGAACTATGCATTCCTTGGGGGAGGCGTGGATTTTAAAGGGCTGTAATGATGGTGACGATGATGAAATGAACTGTGCGTCATTAGCAATGGTAGTCTACGATATAACAAAGATGACTCACGTTTGTTCGTAATATAATACTTCATAGTGAACATTGTGTTCGGTGGCGTGCCCAAAATATTGCGTCGCGTGCCATTGATTCGTCATCCCTGAACTAGTAGGAAGAAAAGGTCTCCTAAAACGTAGAAATATTCTGTTCAATTTTTGTACGATTCGCTACATATTAATTAAGTGATGTAATAAAGTTCACGAGAATGTCACGGAAGCCTTGTAATTATAGATCTTTTCTCGTCATTTCGTACTCCACCCTGATAATTACTTCCAATAAGTTTCTACAAAGACAAAGTTACCTCTACCGTTTCGCCCATTAGTCAGTATTCAGTTTCAGACGTAAGCTAACACTCTGACTCCAGATTAGTTTCTCTCCGCGTATTTACATTGCCTTTACTCGTTTCATATAGATTTAACAGCTGTTTTGAGGTATAAGTTCAAATACAGTGCAACCTTAACGTACCTCAATATAAACACTTCCTCGATTTAACAAATTTTTCGTGATCCCCTTGAATTGTCCATAAGATTCAATATAAAATATACCTTTAACAACCTCTTTATAATGAATTCCCAACTATCAAGTAAGTAAATGCCTCTAATTAACGAATTTTGTCAACCCAAAACCTTTATATAAAGTTCATTAGTAGAAATTGTGAACAAAACTATTTGTTTATTATAACAAATTTTCGACCAACCTAATCTCAGTATATCAAACCTCAGTTCAACGAATTACTTGATATAACGAATATTTACTTGTTCCCTTCCGATTTGTTATATCGATGTTGCACTGTATCTTGATTAGAATCATTAGATATTAAAAGTCCTCTGTTATACATTGGCCTTCTCCATAGATTGGGAGGGTATTTACCATAGTTGCCACGCTCGACAGGCGGATTACTAGCAGCAGATTTTATTAATTTGAGTTGAAATTAGGAAGACGCTGCTGCCCCTGTTTCAGCTTCCCTTTCGGAGAAGATCGGTCTAGATCTGACCAGTAGTTTTTCAGATATCCTTAATAATGCACATTTAATAGACATCGACCACATTGATGATATTCTAATTTTATTTTTAATGAAGTCAGTTGTACAATATATTTAACGTTACCACTTGTTAGTTTTGAAGGCATTTTTACTTTTTATTTAATATCTAATTATTAGTATCTACTTCATAGTCGTAGTCATAGTTAATGTTCTATTTACAACCACGTATTATTGCTATTGTTGCGCGGCTAAGTTGACATCTGGCACTAGCGCCATCTAGTGTCGGGTAACGGAAGCGAGGGGAGAGCTTTCCAGAAAATGACATCACTAATCTTTCAACCGACAGCGCCATCTGTTGTCGAAACGAAGAACTAAGCTTCTGGAAGCTGACTCTCTAACTTTCGGCGCTTTGTCGATTGGTGCGCGTATTTACTTGAATGTTCTGGATGATTCGGTACTAATGTGTATTTATAGGCGCTGCAATACGCGATCGGGGAAGTATTGAATTTGGCGAGACAAGCGAAGCTTCGGAGCGGAATAAAGTGAATTAGTGTGCTTAATTATTAGTGTTTTAAGTTTTAATTTGTGTAAAGAAAATTAAAGTGTTAATTTAGGTAATCCTATCGGCAATTTTTATTGTCACGAACCTCAAGCTCGTATCACTATTTTTTCCTTATTGTTTTTAACAACACTAAACTTGTTTTATATACATATATGAAACTATGTATGCATACTATATGAGCTTCAAAAAATTTCAGTTTCTCTAATGGTAGTTGCTATAACATCTGTTTAATTCTTTCCCGGTAGCTACCATTTTTTGACTTACATATTATAATAGCGATCCGCCCCTGCTTCGCACGGCTGATATCTGGATCTCAACAGCAGCACCACCTACCGAGTTCAAATTAGAATATAAACTATCTAGGGACCTGTTCAAACACATACAAAAAATTTCGTTAAAATCGGTTGGAAGGTTTCAAAGTCTATAACGCACATAGGTAGAAACATTTTTTGTTTTATATTTTTGACTTACATATTATAATAGCGATCCGCCCCGGCTTCGCACGGCTGATATCTGGATCTCAACAGCAGCTCAAATTAGAATATAAACTATCTAGGGACCTGTTCAAACACATACAAAAAATTTCGTTAAAATCGGTTGGAAGGTTTCAAAGTCTATAACGCACATAGGTAGAAACATTTTTTGTTTTATATTTTTGACTTACATATTATAATAGCGATCCGCCCCGGCTTCGCACGGCTGATATCTGGATCTCAACAGCAGCACCACCTACCGAGTTCAAATTAGAATATAAACTATCTAGGGACCTGTTCAAACACATACAAAAAATTTCGTTAAAATCGGTTGGAAGGTTTCAAAGTCTATAACGCACATAGGTAGAAACATTTTTTGTTTTATATTTTTGACTTACATATTATAATAGCGATCCGCCCCGGCTTCGCACGGCTGATATCTGGATCTCAACAGCAGCACCACCTACCGAGTTCAAATTAGAATATAAACTATCTAGGGACCTGTTCAAACACATACAAAAAATTTCGTTAAAATCGGTTGGAAGGTTTCAAAGTCTATAACGCACATAGGTAGAAACATTTTTTGTTTTATATTTTTGACTTACATATTATAATAGCGATCCGCCCCGGCTTCGCACGGCTGATATCTGGATCTCAACAGCAGCACCACCTACCGAGTTCAAATTAGAATATAAACTATCTAGGGACCTGTTCAAACACATACAAAAATTTTTGTTAAAATCGGTTGGAAGGTTTCAAAGTCTATAACGCACATAGGTAGAAACATTTTTTGTTTTATATTTTTGACTTACATATTATAATAGCGATCCGCCCCCGGCTTCGCACGGCTGATATCTGGATCTCAACAGCAGCACCACCTACCGAGTTCAAATTAGAATATAAACTATCTAGGGACCTGTTCAAACACATACAAAAAATTTCGTTAAAATCGGTTGGAAGGTTTCAAAGTCTATAACGCACATAGGTAGAAACATTTTTTGTTTTATATTTTTGACTTACATATTATAATAGCGATCCGCCCCGGCTTCGCACGGCTGATATCTGGATCTCAACAGCAGCACCACCTACCGAGTTCAAATTAGAATATAAACTATCTAGGGACCTGTTCAAACACATACAAAAAATTTCGTTAAAATCGGTTGGAAGGTTTCAAAGTCTATAACGCACATAGGTAGAAACATTTTTTGTTTTATATTTTTGACTTACATATTATAATAGCGATCCGCCCCGGCTTCGCACGGCTGATATCTGGATCTCAACAGCACAGTTCAAATTAGAATATAAACTATCTAGGGACCTGTTCAAACACACACAAAAAATTTCGTTAAAATCGGTTGGAAGGTTTCAAAGTCTATAACGCACATAGGTAGAAACATTTTTGTTTTATATTTTTGACTTACATATTTTATTTTTAAAAGTATTGACATATTATAAAAGCTTGTTGATGGACATAACTTTGGTTTTCTTAGCCAGATATCGAAATAGTACATGGTAGATATTATATACAACACTCAAGTATAAATCTAAAGCAGTGCTTTGTCAGCTTGAATGTCACTAAATTAATAAATCTGTAATAAATCCAGCGATTCTATGCGAGTACTTGTATACATTAATTAACCTTTGAATCATGATGTTCTGGGTATTTATGTAATATGTTCCTTCCAATAGGGTATTTGATTAAAGAAAACACTTGTGCAATTACCCAGTAACGGGTTTGTGTGAAACAAATGAATAACTAGCACATTAATTTACAAAAGTATTTAGCAATACTCAAAAGCTAGGATATGTATTAACTAATACTAAAATTTAGTATTAGTAGAGTTTAGTGAAAATACACTGTTACAGGCGCTATTGGAAGGAACATATTACGAGTCCATAAATACCCTAATACTTGATTTCATGAAGTATCACGAGGAAGTGGCACCGCGGCGTCTACAAATCATTTAATTTCAACTTCTTCAAATTTAATTTTGCTGTTTCTAAAAAAGATAATATTAAAAAGGGTCAGGGTGAGCGCACTTTCTTTTTTAGCCGTTGTTCTGCGTTGATGCTGCATGTTTGCTGCTAGTGTAGTTTTCTAATTTGAAGTACTAAGAGCTACGACCTAGCAAGTCGATTCAATTCAATCATTCTCTCGTAATATTAAAGTTTTTGATGGGTTTCTCATCCTATCGAAAAAGATCACGATGCCTTTAAAGCCCTTATTCTACTGCAATTTCTGTAAATGTGTCAAACATTGATTAAAAAGAACATAACATTAAAACCATCAACAAAAGTGAACATAAGGGGAAGTAGAATTCACTTATTGTTATGGAATGATAAATTAATAAACCAAACTTTACTGCAGCAGGAGTACAAGCGCGAAGTCCGAGAGAGCTCTTACGTGGTCCGTGACACCTCGTACAGCACCGCGGACGAGAAGCAACAACAACAGCAGTCTTTTTTATCCAATAGGCCCCCCCGTGACCCGACCGGGGGGGCCCTTTCTGAAACAGATGCCGCGCATACACGTTTCAGGTATGACCGTTATTTTTTATCTTGATATAACGAAGAACATTCCCAATGACAAATTAATTTTCAGCACTGGTAATGAAGTAACTTATTCATTACAGCTCACAGAAATCGTAATAATAAGACAATAGAAGTCGTATAGACGCGTGACCTTGTCGCCTCTTATGGTGAATTATGTTCGTCAACCCATGATGAACATAATTCACCATTTTGTGATTTAGTTGTGCGGGGAACGTCGTACGTGAATTTTTGTTATTATAAATTTATAATGGTGCACTGCAGCATAATCAGTTGTAAAAACTCATCAAGGACGTGTAATTAAACTAATAAAGGTATAACATTTCATCAGTAAGTTGATTATTTACTAATTATCATTGTTTTAATTAATTTACATCTAGATGAATACTTTACTATGACATTTACCTTAGCAAACTCATTTATTATTTTTCGTATTGTACAATTACCATTGCTGCTTTTGTTCCACCGTAATAAGCGGCACACGTGACGTTGATAAACTCGCCAAGCAATGTAATGTGAAACATTAGATATCATTGTGCATTGCGTATGTTTATAATACGGTAAAACGTGGTGACATCGGCTTTGGAAATAATCGAGCACTATTATTAAGAAGCCCATGACAGATTGCCCATACATTCCTTAGGTTTTCCATTGTTTCCCTCTGTCACCTCTTCAGACACCCACGGGACGATATTGGTAATGGATATTCTTACACCGTCATTGCACAGTCAGAAAATAAAATTAAATGTTTTGGATTGATTGCACAAACACTGCTTGATATTTATTGAATGAAGCCCAAATCCAATTAAAAAGCTCCAACGACTAAAAAAACTTTAAAAAAAATGGTGATGACGCGTTCTTGCTCTATTTAATAATATAGTGACTATAAATGTACACATTAAATAAAACTAAATTTACGGATTCTATCGCGTTTAATTAATTACTTTTAATTATTTTTAATCCCCGACGTTTCGGGTGCTTTACAGCACTCATGGTCACGGGGGAGACTGAGATGTTTGACGTCCCAATGTCATTGTTAGCCCGGCTACCTTCAGTTTTTGAATATTAATTTTTGGTCCGATTTACGCAAAACGAGCTTACAGTATCTTGAAGTCTTGCAGTGGTATGCTTGGATTTGGGTTTAATTTTGTTAATTATAGGATCCCAAGCAGATGGCAGCACCTATACATATTCTCTTTTGAAATTAGGATGTTTTTTTTGATTTCAATAGCCTCGCGTATCATCCTTGGTAGGAATCGGTGTTCTTTTGTGGTTTACTTTTGGTTTATCAAATCTGATGTAATGGTGGGGAAGATCTTGAACATGTTCACAGACTGCAACTTCCCGGAGCGTCGGTGCTTCATATCAGCTATATGTTCTTTCACGCGGGTTTTTAAGATCCATAAAAACCAAATAATTGAAAAGACATTGGGACGTCAAACATCTCAGCCCCCCCCCCGTGACCATGGGTGCTGTAAAGCACCCGAAACGTCGGGAATTAAAAATAAGTAAAAGTAATTAATTAAACGCGATAGAATCCGTAAATTTAGTTTTATTTAATGTGTAGTGTTCGCGTAAATTTAAGAAATCATTATATAAAAGTATACAGTAAAAATATTCAGAATGAGTAATACAGGCAAATGGTGAAAAATAATTAATAAAAAAAAATCTCAACATTCTGTCTTTTTAACTTCCCGCTAAGAAATTGGAATATTTTCAAAAATCTGGAAGTTATTGCTTTTACTCCGTTTCTTGAAAATTGAATAATATGTGTGTAGTCTGGTGTGTGTGTATGCGTACATCCACGTATGTAAACCTCTATTAACTTTGAACGGCTTGACCGATTGAAAAGAACTAAGCAGATTTTCAAAGTGTTTCATGAAACTTTGATTTCCTATGAACTTGAACTAATTCGGACGGGTAGATTTTGAGAAACCACAAAAATAAAAAATTTAAAAACTGTTTTTTTTAATAATTTTTAAACAGCTTTACTGATTGATTTCAAAAACTAAGTAGCTTTTAACCTTAAAAACCCACGTCGATCACTGAGGGTCCGGTCATAATCGGTTGATTCGTTCGTGAAATATTGTTAACGAAAAATTTTGAATTTTTTTTTTAATTACTCCGATATTTCATATTCAACGTCATAATTTCGCATTCTACATGACTCATCTGTTTAATATGTATTGCCAAGCAGACGTATATATTCATATTCATTTGTATATACTAATTATGTATGTATTTAAATATGTTTACTTGTATGTATATCCATTTATTTATATATTTGTATATATGTAAGGATAGATCATATATGTATAGTTTATTTATTAGTAGTTTGTATATATTATGTAGTTAATTATCATTTGTATTGTGTTATCTTATTCTATATTGCCACACCTACGTCAAATTCTCACCACTCCATGGGTTGACTGGTAGAGAATGCCTCATGGCATTATGTCCGCCCTTTGTATTCTTTTATTAAGGATGCAATAAAGAATAAAATAAATAAATAATTTGGTGAAATTTGAAGCGCTTTGCATTTGAAATTAGTAGGAAGTTTCAGGTATGACCTGAAGGGTCAACCAATTTTTATCTTTTAAATTTAAAATGCGTAAAAAAAGTGGGAATGCATTATTTTAACTGAATTTACTGCGCACTCATAAGGGTCGATCGGTAGGGAAAAACGTTGTCGCCCATAAATCACATTCAATATGGGATAATTTCTAATAATGGTAGAAGCTTATTTACTCGTATTTAAAAAACTGCAATAACAGTATATCATTATTTATATATTTGACCACAAGTTTAAAATTTGACTACTCTTTGAAAAATAACCCTGTAGTGTACATAATAAGTTAAATAGACGGCATTCCTAAAAAATCTTTGTTTTAACTATTGAAACTATTGTTTTTGTCTTCTTTTTCTTCTTCATTCTCTAAAAGTTGACTGCGGGAAATCTACCTATCCCAGGACAGATCTACTCTCCTGTTTCAGGGAAACACGACTGCTAGTAATAAGTATTGATTATTTTACTGCTATTATGTTACTGCAATGCGCTTCTCTATTATTTATTATAAAAGTTTCCCGAATAATGGCCCTTAGTGATACACTTGTAGGAATATAAATGTCAACCTCCTTCAAATTTGTTATTCTCAATTTCGAAGGTAATGAACATACAAGAAATAAATCACAATGGTTTTGTTACGAAGCTTATTGTATAGGAAAAAAATATTGTATTTTTCTTTTGTTTTTACCTTCTTTGGAATAAGAATAAACTATTAGATTAGATTACATTTATGAAAATTTAAGATTAAAGATTTAAGAAGATTTAAGAGATAAGATTTATGAATATTAAAAAGACAAATCGTATTTTATACACTTGAAGTAGTAGTTAAATTCTTTTTCTTTAATAAATATACTCACCCATTTGTTTTTTCTTGAATATTTTGTCAAATAAAATGTTTTTTTTTTCAATTTCTAAGCTTTTTACAAAGAAGGCTATGTGCCTATACCCAATGTGGTCGTAAGGGTAAAACCATATTTGTTCCAGCATTTCTATCATGCAATTTCAAGCCACTACAGGATATAAACATAAAACGCTAACATAATACTGCTGTGTTTCATATGGTTATAGTGATAAGACTTGCAGACACTTTTAATAATAACGAAGCATTCAGTTTTCGTTACTGTAGATCATCCACTTTTTAGTCACTTATTATTTCGCCATCTTGTTTTAAAAGAGGTACATTAAGACATCGTATATGGTTTCTCAATATAGGGAAGCTTTAGGAAGACACACCTGTGTTTAAAAAAGACTATGATACAGTTGTTATAAGTGTCAATTTTGTATCGTTGCTTTGATCCTTGTTAGCGATATCACGAATTGAGTACAGGCGTCGTAAAATATAGGAAAAAAGCCCCAAATTTATAATATTTCATCTTTTACTTTTAAGAAAATCATTATAGTTTCCTCCACTTAATTTAACCAACAATCGAACATGTTGTTGCAAGGTCTACCGGCATTCAATTCTTCATTTGGCGAAAATACGAGTTCCCAGTTAATTAAAATGTACAACGATAGAAATTTAGTACTTTCGACTACTATATGTAATTATTGTAATATATTAGGAATTAATTACCTTAGCCGCTTCAATTCAGTCAGCAGTGGTGACAATTTAATTTTAAAAAATCTTCAATTATTATTAGATTGCAGTAGAAACTTACCATCAAATGAACTTTCGACTCCTTTAACCATATAGTATTATAAAAAATAGACGTTTCATGTATTGTACTTATTATACAGTATATAGCATTTTTTATATTTTTTAAATTAAACTTACGGAATGACGTTGAAGCGCTCGCTTAAAATGAAATAACTAGACCATTAAATAAAATATAGAGCTCCAGAACGAAAGAGACGTGTTGTCTGGGCACAATAAATTTTCCAATCTGTACCTGCTGGTGGAAGCTTATAGAGACCTTTACAAAGAAACAAGTATAAAAGTAATTTTATGATATAGTATTGTTTGTGTTAGTAAAATCGTATAGTCAATGTATATTAGACTTAGATTGTTGTTATGTCATATCATTTAACTCGAACCAACTGTACATATATTTAGGATTACAATGTAATTTTTATATAATAAGGGTGATAAACGAGCACACAGTCCACCTGATGATAAGTGGATGTTATAACTCATAGACATCTTCATCTAGCCTCGATCAAGAATCAAAATACAGTGTCACCCTTGAGGATCAAGATGGAATGCCTAGTTTCCAGTAAAAAGGGTCTCCGATTCTCTACACTCACCATACGAAACACAGCAGCAAAGGTAGACTCACGCTAGACCGTGTTGGGTCCGCGCCGAGTGTCGGTCGTAGCACGGTCAACTAATATTATATATATTTTGTATGGACATACTCACGCTATACCGAGCGGCAACCGAGTGACGGCTGAGCAACGGACAACGCTCGGCAACAACTCAGTCCCGGCTTGTAGTTGAAGGTTTATCAGATTCTTCATCTTCCAGAGCGATCGCATTAGCCGCTAATGCTAGATTGTCAAACTTCAACATGATTATAGTCTAATTATAACACTATTTTTGCTCGGAGGAGTATACTGCATCACGACGCAACGATGCCCGGTCGAGGCCCGTAGTTATAATTTCAGGCAAGCGACCGGCCTGGTGATTGTGCTACGGCCGACACTCGGCTCAGACCCAACTCGTTGTAGCGTGAGTCAACCTTTAAACTGCTATTTTACGCCGGTATTCTGTGAGAGCGTGATCCTACTCCGATCGAACGTCCCTTTACTGACCACAGGAGTCCTCTCAATTCTGAGAGGTTAATGGAGCAACAATTCCGCCGTGCTGCACCAGTGCGTGTACCTCACACATTCAGGTTCCTGACTATGTTTTCCTTCAGTGCCGAACACGTGCTAAATCAGAACATAAAATTTCAATTAACAATATCATTCCGACCCAAATAGACAACGATAGACCGTCGTAATTCTTTCTTTCTCTTAAATGGATGGGAGATCAACTAAAGCACCTTTATGAACTGCATTCATGTAAAATATATGTGATTGTTTTATACACATTAGCATTTCCCAATTAGAGACAATTGTAAAAATAAAATGATACGTTCGTTCGTTGAGACGTTTAAAAATGATGATTTTAACATAGTACATGTATATATCTTTTTATTTTATTTGTACTCGCATATAGTAAAAAATATGCCATTCTCTAAGAACAGTACCACCTGATAACAAGTAGTTGGTTTTAAAACACTCTAGCTCAGTAAAAGCCTATTCAGTTTTCCATGTCACCGACATTATAATCAGAACAAAAGACAGACGCTGACAATTTATTCCACTCCTTCGCTGTACGTGTAACGAGTAACAAAACAGATCATTTTACTTAGTGCGCGTTGACAACAAAGGGGTTAGAATCTGCCGACCATCTGATATTCCGTGCAACGGCGCAAGACTTATGGCAATAATGTGTTCAATACGTGGTAGAGCCATGCTGCAGTTATATTAGTAGTACCAGTAGTGGTAGCACGAATGGGTCGGCTCGATCGGGGAAGCACCACGCTCTCACAGAATAACAGCGTAAAATATTAGCTTAATGCTGTTGTGTTTCGTATGGTGAGTGTAGAGAACCGGAGACCCCTTTTACTAGAAACGAGGCATTCTCATCTTAGTCCTCATGGCTGACAACGCATCTGCATTTTGATTCGTAATCGAGGATAAATGTGGATGTCTATGAACCACAGCAACCACTTACATCAGGTGGACTGTGTGCTAGTTTGTCACCCCATCCTATAAAAAAATCCCTCCATAATTTAGGAAAACCTTATGTAAAGCACTCAGAGGCTAAACGAACATCTTTGATTATTTAATAGTAGAGTTCAAGGGGCCTAAATGTAATATACTGAAAATGTTTGAAATTATTTAAATAAGAACAAAAATAGCTAAACCATTAGAGTTCGAGGTCGACACATTATCGAATTAACAAAGTTTTATTACCGGCAGGAGCAACGGCAAAAAAAAAAACGATTTGATGACCAACAAAAAAACCAGTAAAATCGTTAATAGTCATTAGTAACTTTGATTAGATTAAGTATAACATATTAAGTTCTAAAGGAAAAAAAAGTTAGTAGAACAAAAATGCAATAGTGATAAAAAAAGACTGATAGGATGTCAACATATCTTAAAAGTTATAAACATTATCCATATTTTTAACATGACATGTCTGCCCACATGCATTGGGGCAGCACAGGGAACTTTTTATCTGCTCCCAAAACCCTCTTAAAGATTATATCTGTGGGTGACAGTTGTAATATGCATCCACATGCATGCATGTACTTGCTAGCTGCTGAAACAAAAAAAAACAGTGAAGCATATACGCAAGAAGAATCGTTGAAGGTCATGTATTTCTTTATATTTATAAAAGGATAAAACTATATTTCAGTAATAAATGATATTTCACCAAAAAAAAAAATGGGGCAGAGTTCCGTACAAACGACGTTTCGGTTGTCGGCGTCGCCGATCGGAGATGAGACCGGAACGGGTAACTTTACAAACTTTTTGAGTAGGATAGACAGTTACAAACATCTCATCATACGTCAAGGTATATTTATATTACATGGCCTGTTTATAATAATAACGTAGTCCCTTTTTAACATAATTACGGTAAATGTCCGGACTTTTTTACGCTATATTTAATAAAAAAAACTAAGTTTCAGAATAATCTACTACGTTTTAAGTCGTTTGAACAAATTAAAGTATATTTATTTTTGTTACAGACCAGTTCAAAGGGAAAACAATAGAGGTGCCAAAGGAATAGTAATTAAGCCGACCTACAAAGGAGTTGTTGGTCAACCTGTTGAGTTTATAGGTAAGTAAATGAATTAAACTAAATACATAAAATTTCCGAACCTAGTGCAATATATAGAAATATAATATTATCATTATGTCAAAAGTAGTTAGTATTTTCTAAAGGCCTATTAAGTAAATGTGATAGCCTTTTAATGAAATAATTTCAGTAAGGCTTTATTTAGTTCTACACAAATGATAAATGAAATAAAATGAAATTAGACTACTTGTGTGGAAACAACGCTAATATTTTTTTATGGAAGTTTTTATTTTGCATTACTTTTTCTATATTTTCCCGTTCAGATAATCAATGTGACCTAAGCTCATACAGCCACAAAACGTGATCAAAGTGGTTTCATTTTATTAATTAGAGAGATTTTATTTTAAAAAAATCATGTATTTACGTTCTTTTTATTTTACCTGTTTTACAGTAACATACACGTATGGTTTTCTTTTATAAGTACATCTAAGGCACAATTGCATTCGAATGATATTAACATTAAATATTCTTATTTTTTATACATAAAAAGGTAGTTTGCGATATTCGCGTATATAGGTACTAATATAACAGTAGAAAACTACGTTTTTAATTCATATTTACTTTCGTCTGCGTACAAGAGGCATTTGAGGGCTAGCTCACCCATTCTTAACCCACATTTGATGGTTCCGCGGCGCAATAGCGTAGCATTGAGTTGCGGCGCTGAGAGGAGCAGGTTCGAATCCCGCTCAGAAAAAGTATTTTTATGGCCTACAAATGATTGTACCAGGTCTGGATGTTTGTTCTTGTACAATTTATGTTTGTTAACGATCTCCACAATACAGGAGAAAAAACCTTATTCCTCCCCTTCCAATTCCAAAGTTTCAAACAGATTAAACAGCCACATGGAAGTTATACAACTCTGTCTACCACCTTTATGGATGCCTGACCAGTCTGTGCCTAGCCACGTCAATACTGACGCAAGCAGTAAAGCTCTTAAATGAAAAAGATACTTTAATGCCTGTATCTATCTCAGCGCTCAACCATGAGACCAGCGTTTGTTCTAAATCTTAAAAATTTTAATCCTTCTTATCTTATTTCCCGGATAGTGGACGTCAGTTCAGCAGGCCCTGGTCAGCTAGAGTTAGAAGTTTCCGGCGGTAATGGAGCTCTGGTAGCCAGCTCGGTTAAACCGCTGGGTGCTCACAGATACCTGGCCTCTTTTACGCCACGAGTTCTGCGCCCGCACTCAGTCCGTGTGACCTTCAACGATGAACACGTTCCAGGTACGTCTCAAATTAATATCTTGCTAATTATATTTCCATACCCACAAAACTAACCCCAAAAATCAAAAAATTTAATTTATAACCGTGATCACTTGTGTACGTGTGATTTATTATTATGTAATATTTAAAAAATCTGCGTGAAACTGCGGAATACCTCTGTGACGGTGATATAAAGAGATAGACGACGAGAGAACTGAAAACAGCTATAAGCTTAGTTGCAATGTCAAGATCATGATAGTATAAGACTAACATACTTACCCAATAGTGCCGATTTTCTGGGAGTAATGAATCACAACACTCACTAACATCCCACCAAAAGCCCACTGCTAAACACCGGCTTTCCCCTATAGATTGCATTTGGTTTTATTTGATTGATTTATTACTTTAGGTTATTATCAAGAAGATGCTGCTGCCTTATCTCCTGTTACTTTTCTTCAGTCGCCTCTTACGAAACTCACGGGATAATACGGAATAGTGGATTTCCATAAGTCGCCACTTCACATTATGGCAACACCTTGATTACACTATTTTTACAATTGACTAGCTGGTCTGGCGAACGTTGTTCTGCTCTTTTCGACGACCGGTCTCATAAAAAATCCTTAAATTCGCATTAAAAAAATATTGAGTGCTATGAAAACTATCCTATCTCTCAAATTAGATGATACTGCATACAGTGTGCAAAATTTCATTGCAATTAGTTCAGTAGTTTTTTTTTTTATAGGATAGGATGACAAACGAGCACACAGTCCACCTGATGGTAAGTGGTTGCTGTGGCCCATAGACATCTACATCTATCCTCGTTTGCGAATCAAAATGCAGATGCATTGTCAGCCTTGAGGACTAAGTTGAAATGTCTCTTTTCCAGTGAAAAGGGTCTCCGGTTCTCTACACTCACCATACGAAACACAGCAGATAAAGAGTTTTTATATTCTAAGTAGTTTAGGATTTCATCGCGAACAAACAATGTGAAACATTGCTTATGTACGATATATGCCATTAACAGTACATTTCCTATTAAATTTCTTATTCAACAACTTATAGGTAAAACCATATTAGTAGAGATGGATGAATTATGATCTTAAGCCCTATAAAACTACTTTTCATATCAAATGCACAAATTTATTTAATTATGTAAACAAACAAAAATAATACTTAAAATCAATCTAAATATTTGTTTTGGCTTATTTCAAAACGAAATAAGAAGCATTGTAGTAAATCATTTTTTTCTTCCTTTGTATTCTTATCCAAATATTTATCACGTGCTTAGCGGTAAAGGAAAACATTGTGAGGAAACCTGCATGTCTGAGAAATAAGAAAAAATATTTCTAAGACATATGAAGTTTTGAGCAGCGCAGCGGACACTTCCTTGCCCTTAAACCCGCTCAGAAATGAGAGTAAGCTTGTGCCCAGTGGTAGGACACGTTTATATACTGTAAATTAACTTAACTACATATTAGAAGTACAGTGTTTCCGATTTCAATAACATTCACGGAAAAAATATCATTTCACACTGATTTAAATAGGGCATTTACGACTTTTTCTGCCACAAGGACAGAATTTCATAATGGGGAAGTTAATTTGTCCGAAAAATATAAAGATTAATGTTTCTTTCTGTACCATTACTTTTATTTTTATTGTTTATATTCTACATTAATTACATTAAAGAAAAAATAAACCAAACCACAGATATTCACAAAAGTAGATATTTAAAATCTATTAAAATCTAAAATAAACCAAACCACAGATATTCACAAAAGTAGATATTTAAAATCTATTAAAATCTAAAATAAACCAAACCACAGATATTCACAAAAGTAGATATTTAAAATCTATTAAAATCTAAAAAACCAAACCACAGATATTCACAAAAGTACATATTTAAAATCTATTAAAATCTAAAAAAACCAAACCACAGAATCACAAAAGTAGATATAAAATCATAAAAATCTAAAATAACCAAACCACAGATATTCACAAAAGTAATATTTAAAATCTATTAAAATCTAAAATAAACCAAACCACAGATATTCACAAAAAAAACAAAATCAAAATAAACCAAACCACAGATATTCACAAAAGTAGATATTTAAAATCTATTAAAATCTAAAATAAACCAAACCACAGATATTCACAAAAGTAGATATTTAAAAAAGAGTCAGAAATTTGCAAGAGATTAAAGAGCAAACGACTGAGGCACTGTCTTGTGTATTCATAATCATACTCTAGGAATTAATAAACTTTTAAACTAAGTTCCCTATTAAATGACATTGTGTAACAAAACACATCACCTCGGAGTGAACTAGCGACATCTAGTGAGTAGAAGATTATTAGCCAGCATTTATATCGCACCCGTTGAGTTTACTATGGATGTATGTATCAGTCACTAGAAAACGAAGCAGTCACTAGTCCATCCACTAAAATATGGAGTGTAGAAGTAAGGGGTACAGACTGTGTATTAAAAAGTGTCCATAGAAAACCGTTAAATAAGGGTGGCGCCACTATAGCTACGGGCTAAATTTAGAAGCACCGAAAAATATTAGTGGGATAGACGACTTTTTCGAGGTTATATTTACTAAATAAAATTATTTTAGATTTTAGATCTACTGAGCAGTTTGGCAGCACACTTCAAACATCGACAACTGCTAAGTTCATTTCTTCCGAGTAGCTACTCGAGGGCTGTTGTGGATAGTTTTTGATGTGTTATTTACTACTTACAGATGGCCACTTTTTCAAATATTCTACTATGGGATTTGGTACTCCTTACTTCTAAACTCCATACACTAAAAAGTACCCATGACGAATCATACAACGCTTATGTTCAGTAACCGTATCACCCCCGTTCAATATGTATACGAATATGATACACGTTTCATCGGTTGTATATAAGACATATTTTTAAGACACTACGGATTCCCACTTAGTACGATATTGACAAACCTCTCTCACTTTCTTCACATGCGTATGTCTACTGATACATAATGCTTGTCAGTTAAGGGTACTTTAACACAGGAAACGGCCAACGCTCGCGTGTAACACGCGTGTGTTAGTACAGAAGAGGTGTTCTATAAATACCGCATTACTTCAGAACTTTGATAGCACGATTGAGGTTTCGATGTGTTTCGCTTGTGTCGCGATGACAGCCACACCAACAGTACTCTTAATTTGCGCCGCCGATTAACATATTGTTACGAGCTTGAACTATCTTACATCTAGGACGTCCTTTACCGACTCCGCCACTCGCCTTCACAGCATTGCTTTGTCACTCTTTCCTCAATCATTATTTCACCGTCGCGTGTCCACACCACCAAAACACTTTACAAAGAAAATAATCTGTTAAAAAATTTACAATGATTGCTATTACTTTGGGCAACAATGAGCACATGCAGTTGCAAAACTATCACACATTCACAGCTATATTATGGTTATAGTACGAATGGGTTGACTCGACCGAGGTATGACCACGCTCTCACAGAATACCAGAGTGAAATAGCAACTTAATGCTGCTGTATTTCGTACGGTGAGTGTAGAGAACCGGAAACCCTTTTTACTGGAAACTACGCATTCCATCTCAGTCCTCAGGGGTGAAAACGCATGTGCATTTTGATTCTTAATTGGGGATAAATGTAGATGTCTATGGGCCACAACGTCCACTTACCATTAGGTGAACTGTGTGCTCGTTGGTCACCATTATTCTATAAAAAAAACACATTTGGCCGTCATATGTCATAAAGTCAGATAGGCATTTAAGTCCAGTCGTGGCACGCTACGGTTTTGGTCCGTGACGGAAAGGTCTAGAAAGGTCTAAGATTAGAACGAGTAAGATATATAAAATTTTTACTAAGAATATGTGCCAACGGTTACTGGTAGAGACCTATGTACATAATATTATGTACTAGTACTTATGCGTACGTATTCGAAAACAAAGAGAACCAAATAAAAGAGGCACGACATTCGGCACAGAATGATTTCTCCACGGCGCTCATATCAACTAAATATATATTTTAAGTTTGTTATAATAATGTTTCTCTTTATTCCGCAATCGTGGCGACACTGTGTGTCTGACTTAAATTTATTGGCACTATCAGATTGTAGGGTTCAAAAATAGGACCGAAATACATATGGTATATAATTCTACATTATACTTTTTTAATACGTCATTAATTATATTATTTTACTTTTTAAACTCAAAATAAGCGATCTCACGCAATCTTTGGTAATTTACAAACGACTTCAAAAAAGGCGGCGGTACTCCATTCGACTGATTTTTGACTTCCCGCTTTGAAAAAATCGAAAATCGAAAATCGCAAAGTTATTGTTTTCATCCCGGTTTTCGAAAACCGAGTTCTCATCCGATCTCGACGTTTCGAGGTCCTAGGAGGCTATTTTGGCTTTGTTGCGACGATATCCGCATGTCTGTATGTATATATGTGTTTGTTTGTTTGTGTGTGTGTGTGTGTGTGTGTATGTGTGTGTGTGTGTGTCTGTGTGTGTGTGTGTGTGTGTGTGTGTGTGTGTGTGTGTGTGTGTGTGTGTATGTGTGTGTATGTGTGTGTGACTTCTCATGACTTAGTAACGGAGTGGCTAATCGAAGAGCGGTTTTCGGCATCAGAAAGGGCCTCGCTCAACTTAGATTTTTTAGTGATTTAAGACCGAATCGGCACAGTGGATTCTGAGAAAACCTTATAAATTCGAGTAATTTTAATTTTCAAAAAGTGGTTTTCTTGGAATTTCAACGACACCCTTATTTTGACGAATTGTATAATCTAATCAGCTCTTCTACTCAAAAAACGACGTCGATTGCCGTGAATCGCATCAAAATCGATAAAATTCGTTCGAGAGATATCTTTGTCGAAAGAAATCTCGAAAAAGTGTTTTTCAAAAACTAAAATTTCCATAATTTGAATGGTCCCAAAAAACCAATAAACCCAATAGAACAAAAAATAAAAAGGGAGAAAAAGAAAGCAACCAAATTTGATGATTCTTTTTTTTTTTATTTGAGA